CAAGAACCCATAAAACACTCTACTTCAGTGTTTTATTTTTCATGTAAGAGCGTTTATGCTCAGTTCACATTTATAAATTTGTACAACCTATAGAAGAACAGAAAAAATATGATTTGATGCTTACTGATAGATGACCCCTATTGTAACATTTAGAGGTTTGTCTTTACTCTGCTTCTGGTTTGTATTTGTCAATGGACTCCTGAGTTTTAAGACTCTTTGTTATATTCATACTTTATTCATGCTCATAACATACTACGCAAAAATCGCTTACTTTTTCTAGTAAAAACCGAGGTCATTTCCACAAGGATATTGTAAAAGCATTTCAAGGTGCAAAATCTCTGTGAGACTTGCACGATAAAATGCTTAAATTGTAGAAAATGACACCTCTATATAAACCTTCCAAAAGCGACCTAGCAAAAGGAGTTTGGTATGTTATGACCAATTTTTTAAGTACCACCTGATCGTTTTAATTGTTTTGTTTTCCTCGCACTTCTTCTTTTACCTTTTTCATGTAAATGGTCCTGTTTTTTTCTTGTACCAGGATACAAGGGAGAGTTGAAATAATTTAAAATTGAATCACCATGTCATTATTTAAACACATCCCACAAACCAGATTCTAATTACAAACCATTATTAAACCAGAAAGAAGACACATTCTTTGGTGGCCGTATGTAACAAGACGGGATTTGCATAGAATGAGTAAAAATGTGAATTGTCAGATATGTGAAACGAATTGATTGACGTAAAACATTTAAATATTTTCAAGGCCTTTGATAAAATACAATGGCTAGTGATCGCTTTCAAATTAAGGAAAATTAAATCGTCGTTTCAAGCTTTAAATGAAATGTAATTAAATTAAATTAAATTTATCTTTGCGTCAATAGAAAGTTATAACAATTCTTACGCGCTTTTTAATGCATGATCCTCTTTAAAATGTACCAGTTGGTAGGGTTTGCATGCTCTTCTTGGGTCTATACAAACCCTGCCCAACGTGCTTCGGAAAACCCGTGTACATATTTATTCCTCACGGAATTCAATTTTCTTTGCATCTATTTTTGTCAAGAAAATGATAATCATAAAAAACCGCAATACTGAAAAAAAAGATACAACAAACAGTGAATCTTATTTTTTATTAATTTTTTTCAGTCATAGACTTTGTTTATTGTGTTGTTTAACGTCCCTTCGCTATTTTTTTTTCATTGATATTCAGGCGCTTAAATTTTCAGATTCAGCCCTGACTCGGCAGTTATGGCCATGGGGCAGCGATGGATTTTTTTGACTGCCCATATTGTCACATCAGTCTTCACATATACAGATGTAGGTCCCTTCCGAAAACCAGGTCCCTCAGTGGGATTCAAACATGCGAGGATTAAACTTTCCTCCGCGATTTATCACTGCGCCAATTGTAACCGATTATATGATAAACACTAACACAGACTATAAGATGATTATGGTGATTTGGGTTTTTTTGCATACATTTGTATATATTTTCTTGACATTTTTTAAAGATCTTTTGATCGATCAACATGAATTCGTATGCCAATTGTGAAACTTCATAATGCGAGGGTCGAAATGTCAGATTATTTCAAGCGACCGAGAACAGATTACTGTAATACATTACTTCATTTGTTAATTTTTCCCAAATTATTGTTTAATGTCCTTAATAAAAAGAGATCTTGTCTAATTTTAAGTTTTAGGAAAACAAAACTTTTCAAAAAAGAAAAGGACAAAGCATGTTTAAATTCTAAACAATATCCTGCTTTTGATTTGTGAAAACATTAATACGTCTTTAAAATATTCCAGCACAATGTGTCTATAATTTGGCATGGCTTGACTTGATACAATCAGTAATTATACAAACTTTTATCACTCTTTAGTGACCTTAATATCAGTAAGCCATTTACCCCTCAAACACCTTGTTGTGATATAAGTAAGGTTTTAGTGTATCAATTGTTTTAGAATATATTTCCAATTTCTCAAAAAGTTAAAGGTTGGTAATAAACTATTGTAAATGTACTTTTTTCCACGGGGTCTTAATTCTGCGGAATCTCTATTTCTGTTTGATCCACGATTAGAAAATTACTTTGATTTCTAAGACTCTTATTATATTCCGTATACGTACATATATATTGCAATTTGGCAGGTATTGCTAATTATCAGGCAGAGACTATATATAAACATACATATTTATTTATGATTAACAGCAAAGGAATCCCCCATGACCTGCAAGATCCAAAGAAATACAAGTAGTTCAAGGTTCAGTGATAAATCTAGAAGCATGGACAAGCATGGAGTGTCTAACGAATGATAGCATGTCATAGGTTTTGGTCGTATGTTTTTTTTTTGTTTTTTTTTTACAGTCTGATTCATGGAACTTATCAGATCAGTAAACATTAGTATTTAGTATGGAGAAATAATGTATATTTACTCCAGAAAAAAAATTTCACTTCCCGCAAGTACGGGTTTTTTAAAGTCATATTCAATTCTGATAATTAGTACTCGTGTTACTTTTGTTTGAACAAATTCTGAAAGAGGCCCTGGGGGTTGCTCAAACAAGTTGTTTATTTTGCATCTTAATTTTATCCTTTGGTACAAGCAGAATAAGGATTTAAGTCTTGAAAATAATGAAATAAATAAAATTATGAGCAGGGCAAACACGACAACTGGAAAAAAGAGATGGAATCAGGAGTCATGGAGAAGAGAACATCCTCTGTTGACAGTTCAATGCCGCTCATTGTCATGTTCAGATAAAGAGTAAAATCTTAAGACAATTCATTGTGAAAATAATGACCTAAGAATATGTATAAAAATTTAAAAAAAAAAAAAAACGTCACTCAACATTCGACATAACAAAGAATTGTATTTGTAGGCATTGAATCGACATTCGAATTTGCGAATGTTGAATATAAAGAGTACTACAAGGTCTTGTGTCATCAGTTTATTTGTCAGTATCCTGCTTTGTTTTAGAAATGCTTTCACTTATCGAATCTGAAGGATGAAAATAGTAAAGCTGATGTCAGGTTTTCTTACTTATAACTTATTTAGTTGTTAGATTACCACCGATTTCTTTCTCTAAAAAGTATTCAGATATTTTAAACTGTATGCTATCTTTTTTTGTTTTTAAAGAGGCTGGGGGGTGGCAGACATTTTCAGACTATGTATATCTCCTTTAAAAGAAGAGCTCCATATAAAGATATACAAAAATGATCAATTTTAATAACTAAAATGCATCAATTTTTTCTTTGCCAAATGATAGTTGACAGCTTAAGATACCATATCTAAAAAATAAGTTAAATCTGGTGGTTAATTTGAGGTTAATTTGTTGACCCCCAGCCTCCTTAAAGTTGGAATATATCGAGTTGACTCAATGTAGGGGTGAAAAAAATGTGTTGCTTGATAAAGAGTCTCCAGGATCTTAATTTTTTCATTAAAGTGTATTCTGCTGAGTTGTAATTTTCTTTCTTGCATAAAAATGTCCTCGTAATGCATAAAATTACTCATTTTGGAGTGGTAAAATTTTTTTTTCTTTTTTGTAAAATACATATTTTCATCAACATGATCAAGTGTGGTATAATAAAAAAAAGGTTTCCTGGGAAAAAATCCTCATGCACGATTTTGAAATCATTACCGGTATTTTCAAAATATTTCACAGCTATTACTTAATTTGAGGGGAGTGTGTATAGCTTACACATACAACACTCAATGTCTTTGGTCAAATGACGTAAATGAAATCAATCACTTACACGCGAATAAGTCCTCTAATTATTTTTTAAGTATTTATAGTTTAAATCATTCTTCAGATTTATTTTTCTTCAACACGTTTTGCATCACAATTTACTATATGAGTGTCCTATAATGATACAATTAATTCCCTTTAAATTAGAGTTTACAATGAAAATAAAAATTTACACACAATACAATTACTTAAATTGACACAAGTATCATGAGACAATTTTATTATACAAACAAACGCGCGATGTGTTTAACATCAAAATCACATACCACTACACACTAATCATACTAGTTGACACAGTGCCTGATAAAACCACTGTGGTTTGTATATATACGTAGTGACGAATTACTCCGCGGATTAGGATAAGACTCGATCTGTAAATATGTCAGATTTAGTAATAATATATTTATATGTTTATATATTGTTGTCTTTGGAATTCCTGGGAAAATATATCCGAAACAAATATACTAGGTTTTATTACCCTACGTTATATTATGCAATAATGCACATCAAATGTATCGTTAAAATAGAGCAAATTGTATTTATTTCAATTGAAATAGATCGATAAAGTTATCTTGCAAGGCTGAGTTAATTTTATGACAATTAATTGTATGTGGTTATATCAATTTACATAGGCGTCGGAAGCAAAGTGAAAGGGAGGCTAATTGAATCTTTGTGTGTGTGTGTCAAACCAAGAAAAAAGATAAACCCTAATTCTTGCAAGGCATTAAATTGATATTTGAAAATTAAATGTATGTGGTTTTATCAATTTACATGGCTCAACACTTTAATTTATCGCGTTATACATGTTATATTTGGAAAATTATTTTCCTAAATCTTTGAAAGTAACAAATTCATTACTTGTTACAGAAAAATACATATTGAATGCTAGTTTTATAAATTGTAGAAAAATAAAACTTTCAAATATATTTTAATAATTAGAAATTATTGAAATAAAAAATTAATTTGAAAACAAATATTTAAGCAAAATTATAATTATGAATCTATATATAAATTTCATGTATCTATATTACTGTGTGCTCTTTAAGAGTTTTATTTCATCGATTTTTATTCAATTAAGTCTTAACAGAAAATTAAATGTTCAAAAATATTTAAGAAGTCAAGGTTTCTGATTTTCTCTCACTTGCTGTACATTATAGAAAGTTTCATTGATCAAATTAAAATCCTTAAGCTCCGCCTCCCACGAGAAAGGGGAAACCTAATTCTAAGAATAGATCAAGAACAGAACTATAAAAGACAAGACATGTTTACATCTTGATCAGTTCTTATCGTTTAAAGCGATGGACAAGTTGTTTGGTTATGCTGGTTGTATCATGGACAAAATTCTCTATACGTTTGTGAAGCATACATTATTTACAGAGGAAAAGTCTAAGTGTATTAAGTGCCATGAAAAACGTTTAAAGGATGCATCTGAAATACGAAAATTGGTACAAAGTGGAGAGATAGGGCCAGCTTCCCATATCAGGGTTCACAGACCTCGCTCTCTTCGTATTCTGTGGTGGACATTTGACTATAGCTACAATCATCACTTTTTGGTGACAGATGCAACAGAAAACAAATTGACAATTGTTCACTATGCTCCAAAAAGGATTTCTATGATAATTCTTTTAAAAGGAGTTGCCGAGATTATTCAGGAATCGGTAGAAGTTACGAGCAGTGATGAAACTTTAGACTTTAGTTCCGGTGTTTATCATATAACATCTGACTCTTACCCCAAGACAGAGGAAGAAAAATCCGAGGCAGTGAAACGAGCAAAAAGACGCCTAGGGGAGAGGCAGTACTCAGTGTTTCACAATAACTGTGACAGTTTTGTGTCGTGGACACTAGTGGGTAATTCGTACTCACATCAGGCAATGAATGCCAAGGGACTTCTGTTTTGTATTGGAATCTGTGCACGGTTTTGCATTAGGGTTTATAAGACTTTGGAAGTAGTCAAAAATGCCATAAAAAGACTCTCTAATTTTTTTGGTGAATAGTCCTTTGGATTTATTCATTGAACTATTGTTGAAATATAATTTTATTGTGATCATATTTATTTGTTAATCATCATGAAGTATGCTTATTTTATTCGAATCTGTTGTATTCATGGAATGAATATTTGCATAAGAGTTGAATATTTTTTACACTCTTGAGACTTTTTTTCTTTATGAGAAAAAAATAAAATGACAAAGAGGAATCAAGCTCAAAATTCATTAGAAACAGTACAAATCGGGGGCAGAATAAGCAAGAATCTCTCAGAATATCGGAGCAAGGTGAGATCAGGTGCCATGAAGGTAAAAGAACCCATGTCAACTTATCACACCCGCCTTGTACTTATGATCATTTTCGGTTAAACTGCAAAATCCGTATTTAGTAATGGTTAAACAAACGACAGCAAGCATCTGGTCTTCAGAACCTGAAAATCAGGTGTTGAGTAATTGAAAATGCTTACAAAAATACCTCTGAATTCTAAAAGTACCTCTGTGTTTTAATTTGTTGTAGAAAAAAAAATACTAAAGCGTTTAACGCAAAGTTTTTTGAGTTTAATCGCAAAAATTCTTGGATTGAATTCTTCAAGTGGTAATCCTACTTATACTCATACTTCCCTTTCTAAGGAAGAATTTTTTTAAAAATCATATATCAGTTTTAAATACTTTTAATATTCAACAGAGCCAAAATGAGTTTGAACTACCCCTGTATATATATATTGGATTCATAAAAATCCTTATAAAGATACATTGCGGGTTCCAGTAAATGTTCAACCAATCCTCTTTCGTTACTCCTCACTAAGATATTGCCAGTAGTGAAGGAAAAACTTCAAGAGTACTGTGCAACAATATATTCAAGAAGTGGAGTGAATCAGATGTGGATACTCAAAAATTCCAAAGAACTTTTGGGCAATTTGAAATCACAAGATTTTACCAAGATCAACAGCTTAAAAACTTAAGACTTTTCAACTTTATACACTACCATTCCCCAGAATAAATTAAAGTCCAGGCTTTTTGATATCATTGACAGCTGCTTTTGAATAAAAGTGGAACTCGAAAATTTTCGTATCTGGTCATTGGTCATTTGCAAAATTATTTTGTTAAAACACATTCTGATTGCACACAAGTACTCTGAAATTAACATCAAAGAGATGCTTGAGTTTCTGATTTTCAATATCTAATATGTGGATTTTGGAGACCAGGTATTCCAACAATCAATGGGAATTCAAATGGGTACCAATTGCGCTCCGTTATTAGCAGACCTATTTTTATATTCATATGAAACAGAATTTGTGCAAAATCTTATGAGTGAAAAGAAGAAAACACATTCTGTTTCCTTCAACTCGGCATTTAGATACTGGTATATCGACGACGTATTGTCAATTGGTAACAATGGTAATTTCCATTCCTACGTCGATAAGATATATATTGGTGAGCTTGAGATAAAAGATACCACAGAGTCTAACACATCTGTTTAATACTTGGATATTTTACTTGAAAAAGACGTTAATTGTAATCTAACAACCAAGCTATATGATAAACGTGATAACTTTAACTTTTCTATCGTCAACTTCCTTTACTTATGCAGCAATATACCTTTATCACCTTCATTACGGAGTATATATACCTCAGTTTATTCGATACGCATGAGCATGCTCTACGTATGAACAATTTCTAAAACGAGATAATTATTGACAGCAAGTTGATGAAGCAAGAATATCAGCAGTCTCGTTCAAAGTCATCATTTCGTAAGTTCTATGGTCGATACAATGACCTTGTCAGCAAATACAATTTATCATTAAGTCAATGTTTACTGACGTATTTTTATAAAAAAAAATTAGTAGACCATTAATAACACACTGTATTGTCGATGGATTTTTCTGTTATTTCCCAATCATGACAAGGAGCACACGGCGGGTGTGACCGGTCAGTAAGGGATGCTCACTCCTCCATAGCACCTGATCCCCCCTGTGATGTTTCGGAGGTCCGTATTTGCTCTGCTTCCAAATTTATATTGTTTAATGGATTTCTCTGAGATTGAATACTGTTTGTAATCTCAATATATTTTATTGTATATTTTGAAGTTTCAATAAGTTATTTTAGTGATATATTTCTGTATAATTGTGAATGGAAATATTGGCACTCATTTTACGAAATTTCTATTTTTTGCATTTCCTCTGGATTACTTTATTCATTTGTTATCTACATAAACATAAATCCATGAGATTTATTTCTGATTTATGAAAACAAAACTTTTTTTGTATTTATTTGTGTAACATATCATTACACTCCATGTGTATTTTGTCCACCTTCTCTTTCTGCATTTTTTTGTGCCGATTTGTCTGTCTGCATGTCTTCTAAAACCACCTAATATAAACACTGAGTCATGTTTGATAATGAACAAAAACATCCTTAAAGTAAAGTTTAAATAGGCCATGTCAGTACAGTTATTTAGACTCTGGTCCTTCATGATCTACATGTAGTATGAGCTCAAACTGATGATTAAAAAGATCTGGACAGTTTCATTTTGAAGGATAGATTTCCGAAGATTTAAAATTGACATTTGAAAATTAATTGATGGCGTATTTCGCGCGTTGAACGGTGGGAAAAGTTTCTGTATATGTTTCTTTTTTTCTTCTTTCTTTTTTTTTTAATTTATACACAATTTTTGCTGGTGTAGTCATATTAAAAAGCAAGAATTATGCTTTTTTCGAATTTCGTTTTGTATTAAATGCTTTTAAAAGCCAAAAAAATGTACTTTTTGTTCAGAAAACAACATCCTTTTTGGTATCATATTGATGAAATCTCAAAAATCTTCAATATATATTTAATTAATAACTCGTTGGTAGCAAAGCATTGAAGGAAATTTGAGGGAAGCTAAAAAATGAAAAAAATGACTCCTTTTCAAACATCAGCCTTTAACAGTCAGACGCTGGGCTATTTTCTGCTGATGACATTAAAGAACACTTAACAGAAACGTGCTTTCCAAATTTAACCAAATGCAAAATAACATAATTGCACTAATATATTTTTCTGTTGAATTTGTTTTAATATTTAGAAAATACGAAATACTGGACACGTTTTTGCCTTTTTGAATAATGATCAAGAATTTATGTATCCTGTAAAATCAATAAGAATCGTCATGTTTTGTTTGCGTCAACTACCGATATCCTTCAGAGTCACCTAATATCGTGATTTCCCTACAATTCCTATCAATTAGACAGACCGGTAGACATTATGTCATGAAACCTAAATTTGATAAAATAATGATTAAATTAAATATAATAAGGTTTTAAAAAGATGATGTATACAATGCATCTATAAAAAAAAATTATCTCCTGTCTATCAGTCACACCTCCTGTCTACCAGTCATATCTCCTGTCTACCGGTCACATCTCCTGTCTACCGGTCACATCTCCTGTCTACAGGTCATATCTCCTGTCCACCGGTCACATCTCCTGTCTACCGGTCACATCTCCTGTCCACCGGTCACATCTCCTGTCTACAGGTCACATCTCCTGTCCACCGGTCACATCTCCTGTCTACAGGTCACATCTCCTGTCCACCGGTCACATCTCCTGTCTACAGGTCACATCTTCTGTCCACCGGTCACATCTCCTGTCTAACGGTCACATCTCCTGTCCACAGGTCACATCTTCTCTCCACCGGTCACACCTCCTGTCTACAGGTCACATCTCCTGTCTACAGGTCACATCTCCTGTCTACAGGTCACATCTCCTGTCCACCGGTCACATCTCCTGTCTACCGGTCACATCTCCTGTCCACCGGTCACATCTCCTGTCTACCGGTCACATCTCCTGTCCACAGGTCACATCTCCTGTCTACAGGTCACATCTCCTGTCTACAGGTCACAACTCCTGTCTACCGGTCACATCTCCTGTCTACTGGTCACATCTCCTGTCTACCGGTCACATCTCCTGTCTACAGGTCACATCTCCTGTCTACAGGTCACATCTCCTGTCTACCAGTCACACCTCCTGTCTACAGTTCACATCTCCTGTCTACAAGTCACATCTCCTGTCCACCGGTCACATCTCCTGTCTACAGGTCACATCTCTTGTCTACCAGTCATATCTCCTGTCTACAGGTCACATCTCCTGTTACTAGTCATATCTCCTGTCTACTGGTCACACCTCCTGCCTACCAGTCATATCTCCTGTCTACCGGTCACATCTCCTGTCTACCAGTCATATCTCCTGTCTACCGGTCACATCTCCTGTCTACCGATCACATCTCCTGTCTACCAGTCATATCTCCTGTCTACCGGTCACATCTCCTGTCTACCGATCACATCTTCTGTCTACCGGTCACACCTCCTGTCTGCCGATCACATCTCCTGTCTACAGGTCACATCTCCTGTCCACCGGTCATATCTCCTGTCCACCGATCATATCTCCTGTCCACCGGTCATATCTCCTGTCCGCCGGTCATATCTCCTGTCTCCTGGTCACATCTCCTGTCTACAGGTCACATCTCCTGTCTACAGGTCACATCTCCTGTCTACAGGTCACATCTCCTGTCTACAGGTCACATCCCCTGTCTACAGGTCACATCTCCTGTCTACGGGTCATATCTCCTGTCTACCAGTCATACCTCCTGTCCACAGGTCACATCTCCTGTCCACCGGTCACATCTCCTGTCTACAGGTCACATCTCCTGTCTACACTGGTCACATCTCCTGTCTACCGGTCACATCTCCTGTCTACCGATCATATTTCCTGTCTACCAGTCATATCTCCTATCTACAGTCATATCTCCTGTCTACCGGTCACATCTCCTGTCTACCAGTCATATCTCCTGTCTACCGGTCACATCTTCTGTCTACCGGTCATATCTCCTGTCCACCGGTCATATCTCCTGTCTACAGGTCCCATCTCTTGTCTACAGGTCACATCTCCTGTCTACAGGTCACATCTCCTGTCTACAGGTCACATCTCCTGTCTAAAGGGTCACATCTCTGTCTACAGGTCACATCTCCTGTCCACCGATCACATCTCCTGTCTACCGGTCACATCTCCTGTCTACCTGACACATCCCCTGTCTACAGGTCACATTTCCTGTCTACAGGTCACATATCCTGTCTACCGGTCACATCTCCTGTCTACCGGTCACATCTCCTGTCTACCTGACACATCCCCTGTCTACAGGTCACATCTCCTGTCTACCTGACACATCTCCTGTCTACCTGACACATCTCCTGTCTACCGGTCACATCTCCTGTCCACCGGTCACACCTCCTTTCCGCAGGTCACATCCCCTGTCCACAGGTCACATCTCCTATTCACCGGTCACATCAACTGTCTACCGGTCACATCTCCTGTCTACTAGTCATATCTCCTGTCTACCGGTCACATCTCATGTCCACCGGTCACATCTCCTGTCTGCCGATCACATCTCTTGTCTACCGGTCACATCTCCTGTCCACAGGTCATATCTCCTGTCTACTGGTCAAATCTCCTGTCTACTTGTCACATCCCCTGTCTACAGGTCCCATCTCCTGTCTACCGGTCACATCTCCTGTCTACAGGTCATATCTCCTGTCTACAGGTCACATCTCCTGTCTACCGGTCACATATCCTGTCTGTAGATCACATCCCCTGTCTACAGGTCACATCTCCTGTCTACCAGTCACATCTCCTGTCTACCGGTTTCATCCCCTGTCTACAGGTCATATCTTCTGTCTACAGGTCACATCTCCTGTCTACCGGTCTCATCCCCTGTCTACAGGTCACATCTCCTGTCTACCGGTCTCATCCCCTGTCTACAGGTCACATCTCCTGTCTACAGGTCACATCTCCTGTCTGCCGCTCACATATCCTGTCTGCAGATCACATCCCCTGTCTACAGGTCACATCTCCTGTCTACCGGTCACATCTCCTGTCTACCGGTCCTCCTGTCTACCGGTCACATCTTCTGTCTACCGGTCACATTTCCTGTCTACCGGTCACATTTTTTTGATAAAATGTCATATAAAATTTATCTAAAGTGCATGATAATTTTTTTGATAAAATATCACATCTCCTGTCTACCGGTCACATCTCCTGTCCACAGGTCACATCTCCTGTCCACAAGTCACAGCGTCGAGAGTCAGGGATTCGGTTGGAAATCCTTAGACAAATCAGTATGAAAACGATAGTTTAAAAAATGAATGAAAGACCAGAGTCTACATGAGATATAACAATAGTTATATTTGTTTAAAAGTCAATATACGAGGGGTGATCAAAAAGTTCGCGAACTAATTGAATAACTCCCATAAAAGAAACAATATTTGGTTTCAATATTAATTATATTTTAAATTAATCCTCTCCGTTTTTAATGCACATTACCCACCGTTCTGCGCATGTGCGAATAACGTGATATTGGCGGTCACGTGACCCCCTCCGTAGCGTTCTGTCACAAAACTTGAAAGATTTTTCTTTGTTTTATATTTCTTTCCATGTGATTTAATTTTTATGACAAGAACAGTTCATTTGTCAGAAGTGGTCAAATCTCGGCAACAGAATTGGTGGATAAGAATATCCTTTTCAAAAATAAGCATGGCGACCATTAAAACAAATCTTCCGTCTCGGGAGAGACCTTTATTCAAGGTGGATAGAAAATGGGTGCCTCCTTTTTATCATATCTAATATGTTTAAAATCTAAAATAAACGATATCTTAGGTATTAAATAACTATATTATTGTTCAAATATTCAACTATTTTTCAAAGTGTAAATTGGAGGTCTTTGATAGCAAATTGCTAAATTAAAAACACATATCTTTTCAAATTTGCTTTCACTGGGCAAGATGACAAACTTGTATCATTTTTAACCATCTGCCTTCCCTCACTAAAACCTTCAATCCAATCATTAATTGAATTTATAGGAACTCATTTATCCTAAAAAAAAAACTGTGTACAAATTATTTTATGATACTGCAGAGGGATTTCCAAGATATACAATAAATTGTACAGTCGTTTGTTGAACGAGTTCGACTTAGACAACCATTTTTCGTCACAAGTGACCTACATAGTGACGTTATTTTCGCATTGTGACGTAACAAACAAAGAGAAAAACTTTATTCAGCAGATGCGATTTATAGACCTTGCGTATGGCTATGTGTGTACCGAATTTCATTATAATCTGAATTGTGGTTTTGTAGATATAGAGATAGTTCGCGAAATTTTTGATCACCCCTCGTAACAGGAATCAAGTTTGTGAAATGTGGACATGCATCATCAACTTGTTTGTCAACAGATATTAATCTCGTTCTTTATACTAGTATTTAAAAGAATACTCCGCAGCTTCCTGTACATCGAATCAACAGGTACAGTGTAAATTATAAAATATTTTAATAATAGGAATGGTAAATACATGTAAAATTAAAACATAAGGCTATGGTCTTCAGTTCGTTATTATATCGACGTCCGTGATTTATTAAATCTACACTCTGTACAAATTTTAAAAGGGAAAGGGACTTTGTTCTCTTCATCTACTCGCATCCTCACAATGCAAGCCACACAAGAGTCCTGAGTCAACACGTTGTCGTGGGTCCCCCGGCAAAATGTTGACTCAGGACCCCTGACATTGCGATGATGATCTACTCAAAGCGCGAGAACCTTCCTTTTCACTACACAACGTGAATAACTCTGCGTGGTTATTGTACACGTAATTTGTTTACCTCAAATCATGTTTAATATAAAAAGTGGTTCAGAGAAAAAAAAAACAAAAAAAAAAAAGAAACAGCACAAACTGCTTAGCGAGAAGAAACTGGACGTACATGCAAGTACATAATGACTGGCTTCCTTTCCCGGTATTACGGGACCTATTATCAGATCGCACTACTTGTTAAGTACTGCAATTGCACTGAAAATGATCATCCCGTATTAACATGTATAAAACGGTTATGAAACCATGCAACACACCTCTTTAATATAATCATAAAGTGAGAAACAATTGTTTTCAAACTAATGGAGGTCGGGTCCGTTGGTGTTTATGCCCTACATCATGTACATGTTCACCTTTTTGTTTTGCCTTTTTTATGAATGAAAAATATGGAGATAACGAACAGTATTCAAGATCAAAAGTCCATAAAACAATACAAAATAGGAGCAGAGCAAACACGGACCTCCAAAACATAACAGGTAGGATCAGGTGCTATGGAGGAGTGAGCATCTCCTGCCGACCGGGGACAAGATTAATCATATGAAGTCGACAAATCTAAAACTTTGCAATAAATAGAAAGGAAAGTCAACATCAGGATAAATAATACAAACAAACATTTTTCTTCCCCAAATTCAGATATCTTTGCAAATGACCAAGCCACATGATTTAATTGGCGAATAAGTGCAAAAATGCAACTCAAGTTCATTGTTCAATATTATTTTTTGAAAAGTTTATGAAATGTATGATGTTTGCTTACTTCAAAGTTTTTTGGACATTTTTAAGAGTGTATTTTTACATTTTACTCAATTAACTTTTTTTAATTACTCTAACGTTGAAAGAAATGAATGCAGTCGCTTCCACTGAGCTTTGTGCGCTAAAATGGTTCAGATAACAAACAGTGACTGATCTTTAAAACCCAAACAAACAGCTATACCCCCCCCAAAAAAAAAAATAATAATAAAATAGAATTTTTCCGTTATTTCTCGATTATGAGGAACTCACGGCGGATGTGACCCCTTACAATCTTCAAGCTTTCACAATAAAAATCTAACTTTTAATCAAATGACCGGTAAGGGTAAAAGGCTATTCATAGAGATCAACAGAAAAGGAATGCTTACTCATTGTAGGCATCCGATCCTTTTGCCCTTTTCAATAATTTTGCAAAACTGTAATATTTTGTATTATCTTCAGTGACTCCTTTTACAATGTATTTAGTGCACAATATAATAAAAAAGATATTTCAAAATTATTTGAGTTGATTTGATGCTTCGTATAAATTATCAATCGTGTCTTAAGCCTACAATTTTTTTTTTAAAAAGTTATATTTATTATCAGCTTTTCTCTTTGCGCTTGTTCCGGAAATATATTTGTCTTCCGTTAGTGGTTTTCTTATTATTACTATAGATTACTTTCACTTTGGTTAGTTGATCTCGAAAAAATGAAATTATGAATAAAGAACAAAAGGAAATAATTCGAACGAACAGACGATACATAAAGGAAAACGTGTACAACGTCAACGATGTGGCGGACAAGCTATATGAATATGGAATCTTGTCCTTGGAGAACAAAGAAACCATCGCGGTAAAGTCGTCTTAGGATAATCCCATGATAAAAAAAAATTATTAGCTTTGAACATAGCTCACATAAAATCTGTAAACTTTAAACACATGATAAAAACAACATTATCAACTTTGACCTAAGCTCCCTTAATTAATTATTTGATCATCCTCATGATTTATAATATGGTCAGACATGATAATGTTTCGATCATCGTTTTATACTTTCCTTTTTTTAAATTTGAAATATTTCTTTATAAAGAGAATGTAGCACATCTAAAGTGTGCCTAACGTGTAATTTATTTTGAGTGATTTACTTTCAGTCCCGGCCTGTTGACAGGAGAGCATTTGAGCTGCTGGACATTGTGGTCAAGAGAGGACAGCGGGCTTTCCAGGGTCTGATTGATGCCCTGAACGACACAGAGAACAAGGAAGTGGCCGACAGACTGGAGGGAAAGTCAGGAGGAACAACGAATACAAACTATACAAGTAACTGTCAATACAAACTATACAAGTAACTGTCAATACACACTATGCAAGTAACTCTCAATACACACTATACAAGTAACTGTCAATACAAACTATACAAGTAACTGTCAATACACACTATACAAGTAACTGTCAATACACACTATACAAGTAACTGTCAATACAAACTATACAAGTAACTGTCAATACAAACTATACAAGTAACTGTCAATACAAACTATACAAGTAACTGTCAGAGAATACAAACTATACAAGGCTGTAAACTAGTATAAACAATTTCTTTGTAAACAAAGCACTTTTTGTGTTATCAAAGACTAGAGATTAATTGTGATTTTACTGAAGGAATGAATTTAATAGCTACCCATTTTATATGGTATAAACTGGGTTGGGGCAGTTTACGCTTTATAAACTGTGAAGCGGTTTATAAAAAAGCGTAAACTGTTCCAACCCAGTTTATACCATATAAAATGGGTAGCTATGAAATTCATTCCTTATAATTTAATTTTCATTCATTTGATGTAAGAAAAAAAGATGATGTTCTAACAAAATGACTTCAATTTGTGCAAAAGAACAAGGATCACTTTTGCCTTATTTGGCCCTGTGAATTTCTAAAAAACTGAAACTGCATAGTTTTAGTTAACAATGCATTTAATATCACTTAGATCTTCGGTGACTGTGTATCTATTAAAAATGACGTCAATTTCTGGCTAGTCAATGCATTATGATGTCACGAAATGCGTCAATTTCTTCATATTCTGAAAAAGTGTACAAAAACTGCCAATTTTTCAAGCTATTTTTTTATTTTTAATATAGAGCGCAACCTCTGATCTAAAATATGAAACTAGTAAATGAGAGAACTGTTTCTGAGGATTAATGGACATGCTTTATTTTTTAGATCAGAGAGTGCGCTCATATTATTTTACTTCACTGAAAGTGCTCAATTATACCTGTTTACCTATAAATTCAATAACATTGACAATTTCATAAAGTCAGTTCTCCAAGACCTGGATTTTGAAGGGAAAAATTTTAATAGGATATGAAAGCACCAAGTCTCTACTTTATTTTAATGCTTCAAATAGAAAATCAAGTGTTAATCAATCAATTGGTATATCTACAGGGCCATTTTATGCATAAAGTGAACCGACTTCTTTGAATGTAACGTCAGACGGAATTAATTCGTTTTTGATGCAAGTCATTGTGACGTAGGCAACCCATTTTATACGATATAAAGTAAATTTTTTTATTCAATCAAATACAGCGTTACAACCAGAATTAAATTATATTGTAATGGTTTGGGCCATGGGTATTGGCTTGGGTAGCTCGATCAATAGAGCACCTGACTAGTGATACGAGTCCCAAGTTCAATACCCAGTCCAGCTATACATTTTCACTTTTCTCATTACAATACATTTAGATACACTTAAATACTCTGAAAGCCCAATTTCAAAATTTCCATTAGGTAGAAAAAGATCACACAATAAAAATATAATATAGACAAAAGTTTGTATTTTATTCAATGGTATATCTTTGGTTTTAGACTTTTCTGTGAGTATGGTTAATAAGTGTGGAAATTCTGTGACGAGATCTGAAGAATCGACAAAGTCAGCGGATACAGCAGCCCCATGTGAAGGACCCAGTATTCCGGGATCCCAAAGTCAACCCCCAGCAGACAATTTAAACAAGCCAGATGGTATGAAGATTTATTATGTAGAAATATTTGTTTTTTCTGGACAAATCCTCAATGATTAGAACTTACAGTATATTTAATATTTATTCTAATGTGTAAAAGCAAGATACTGTGTGGTATATCTAAAACAGGTGAGTGTCTTTTAGAAATTGACTCGTCAGTTTAAAGTAACTAAATACATATAGAATATCAATACTGATAACAAAGGAAAGATAACTGTCGTATTTTATGTTGTGTGTTTAATTTTTTTTAACAGTTGCTGTATTTTATTGTGTGTGTTTAATTTTTGTGGTGAACAGTTGTTGTACTTTATGGTGTGTTTAATTTTTGTTAACAGTTGAGTGGATGAATGAAGTAGAACTGACTAAACTGAAAGAAAACATGACTTCAACTGATCCAAAGTTTGTTTTGGAAATGAAGAAACGTCATGGTGAAAATGTTAGTTTTGTGGCAGAATTAATTTTTGTTTTGTGACTTCTTAGTTCTTACAATATATAGATTGTGTTGATACATGTACATATAATATGTAGTCCTGTGAAAACACTCATCACTGTCATTAAACAGGCAGAGAGTATTGGCTGTTCTGTTTAGGCCAGACCAATCTCGCAATCAAAACAGAGACCTTGTAGAATGTACCTGTAATGAAATGATTAGAAGTTATCTTTTATAATCAGACATTCATTACAGAATTATAGTCTCCCATTTTTGTAAAAACAGGACAATATTTCAAAGTATATCATTATGTTTTATTTTTATTTTTAGCTATAATTATAAAGAAAATTTGAATTCTTGTGCAATTTATTTAACATTTAAGGTTATCTTAATTTTAAAGGTCTTTTATTTTTAGCTCTACAATTTGAACCTGAATAAGCGTGGGATATGTCTGATCATTGATAATATTCCTAGCGATTTTTGTTGTGTCGGTGAGTGCCATCATGGTATGGTGGATGCTGGGAAAACACTCATACGACAGACCATGAAACTCTGCGGGTTTAAAGATGTCAACTTCTCCAGGAACACTGGAACCACAAAGGTAGGCTATATAGCAGGTTCCCCTTAAAATGAGAATATGTCCTTGTTCTAGTGGCTTTTTGCTTAGATATCCAACTTATAAAAAAACAGTCATGGTGTGACTAAGTTCAACACATATTAATTTTTGGTAATTTTATGACTAACTCGTATGTAGGAGAATGTTTTCCTAATATGCCACCTGATACCATATTCCTCATTGCTCTGCATTCAGATGATTAAAGAGAAGATACTGAGGGAAATGAAAAAGTCAAGTCACTCGGAATATTCCTCATTTTTTGTGATCTGTGTGACAACTGGTCCGAATCCAGGCTTAATTTACGGTAAAGATGGAGAGAGTGATCACATTACCATAAAGGAACTACAGGAAGTGATGTCACAGTGTAAAGAGTTCCATAACAAGCCAAAAGTCTTACTGGTCCATACGGTTCCCAACTCTAGCTGTAAGTATTAAAATATTAAAACATATATATATATCTTTAAATATTGCAGCATATTGCTGCAAGGATTAAAGCTATAATGTTAATGGTTTATAAAAAAAGCATAAACTGCCCCAATTTATGTTATATCGTATAAGTTGAAATAAGTTTCATTCCTTATAATTTAATTTCAGTGTAGACAATGAGACAATTTTTCCTCCAGAAAAAGTCTTCAAATTGAGCATATTTTTAAATTAACATCAAGCAGAGTAATATATTTTTGGCGTAACTCTTTGTGACGTAGGCAACTTATGTTATACATAATGGATTAAATCTTTTGCCCAAACAAATGATATGTTATAACTAAAATTAAATTATTGTCTGGTAATAAAAACTTGAATTATTACTAGAAACCAATATTCACTCAGATTTTTAATAAATCGGTGAAAAAATCTTTTTCTTCTAATGCCTATTTACATGTACATCCCATGTCAAATGTTTAATATGTTGATGATATGACTGTTAGGGTGAGCGCAGATACCATTATAATGTACTCTTTATAAACTATTTAAACATGTCTCTTCAAATGGCATGTGACATTTGGTTTGTCCAGACTCTGGTACTTGGTTAACACATTAATTGTATTTTATATATACTCATTTTTCTTTTACAGTACAATGTGTTCACAGCACCAGTTTGGCTGAAGGTCAGAACTTAACGGAATCTATACAGCATCTGTCTATAGAGGAGGAAGGACTAACACCTGTCAATAATAGGAATATGTTTGTCGTTTCTGCCGAACTGCAACCAGGTCTCCAAGTCTCCAAGTTACATAAACATGATTTTAAAAAGCCATCTTCATAATTTGATGAGATTTTATCAAGAAAGTTTAATTTCAATGTGGTTAAAAAAGCATTTCATGATTTAGTTGGGTTTCTTTTAAGAAAAAGTCTATTGATCTTGAAGTCTATAATGAAAATGTCTTATAGAGTAAATGTGTACATGTGTTCATTTGCATTGTGTATAGGTATCAGCTTTTTGGTCAGAATAAAGGGGAAAACGGGGGCCTATTTTAGCAATGCTTTGGTCTATGTCTTGTTGAAGTTTGCTGGTAGTATGTCATTCCTGGAACTGATCTCTGAGGTGAGTCAAACTTGTAAGTCAAATATGTAAATCAAACACAAAAATTAAAAAGAGTTGTTAACAATCTGAATTTTCCTTTGTACGAGCTTGTTTCCTCCAATTAATGTTTGACAGTTTCTAATTTAAGATGGACAAGCTATTGGGATTATGTGAAGATGAAGGATTAGACAATGTGGATGCCAATCCATATAATGAGAAAATTCATCGGAGTGTTCGAGTGGCTAAACTTAAAGTCCTGACAAAACCAGAAAAAGAGCTCTATCTCTTCCCTCTGTATGAGGACACAGGTCAGTAGAGTGACTTCTAGGCCTAGATATACAGTCTGTACGTAGAATGACTTCTAGGCTTAGATATATGTACAAGAACTGAACAATTCTATGCTGAGGTTAAGTATATTTGACCTGACTGTTGAACTTTGGAGTTTTGCATATCTATACCTATAATATGCTCTCAACAGAAATTGACTTAAGTCTCATTTAATGTTTATTTGTATTTTAGGAACACAGGTTTCCAGCTAGTCGTGCTGAACTCTTTGACCTCACATCAGAAACACCAGTACTCCTAGGAATTAAATTGATGGAACCATGAATTCAAAGACTAGCTGAGACAATGACAACCAAGTTGCCATTTTTGCATGACTCTGATTCCATTACATTGGTCATTTTTCCCTTTGTGATAACTGCAGTCCATCCTAGTTGATCCCCCTCAATTAAGGCACCCTTCACATGTAATCATTTGTATGCATTTGAAGTGATGCACTTCTTTTCAATGCACTAATGATTTTGTGCAAAGGACTGTGTACTGTTATGGCTTATGCTGCCCTCAAAGTCAAACTTTGATGGAAATTGGTTACATGTAAGTTCTATTTAGTATACCAAAGAAAGATTCAGAAAACCCCTAAAATGTGAGCAAGAATTTTATTTTCACTTTAGTTTTGGGTGTTTCAAGTTAAGCTGTACTAATATTTTGCCCCATCTTGTTTTAGTCCCTTTTACTTTAATTGTAAGTGTGTAAATTTCTCTTGGGGCAAATTCACAAGACACAGAGTCACCTCTCCTTTAATGCCATACATTAGCACATGGGAGATTATTGAAACAGGACAAAATTGTTTGCAAGTGTGTCAGGGCAAAATTAGCAATGGATGAAAATAAGCTAGAGTATTAACTATAGCAGTAGTTTAGTTTTAAGGGAAAATTTAATTTAGTGAAGAACTAGATTATCGACTGTGCCACAAAGTGTTTAATCATTTAAAAAGGAATAGTTGTTATTGATGTTAATGTGTAATATTTATCATTTAAGGCACAATTTATTAACATATTGATCACACTCATCTGATATTTGGAATACCATGGCTATGTCAGATTGAGTTGTTTTTTCTAAGCACTTTTTCTGATGTATTTTAATATTCTTGACTTTTTGATTCAGTCCTGCGTACTCTTCCACTTTTGACTTAATTCTTCATCTTTTTACCATAAAAATTTATTGTGCTGTTATGTACTTTTGATTCAATTTTATATGTTAAAACTTTTTGTTAAAAAAACTCTTTGTAAATTAATTTAAATTTCAACTGGAATGAAAATGGGAAGCTCAATATTTGTTATTGTCAACACAATTACTTATTATTGTAAAACAGCTCTTATTGCTAGATGTCAGAAATATGTGAGAAAAATAAAGGATGGTTTGATCAAGAGAGATCGTGCATGGATTCTAGCATCTTAAAAATAAAAGTGAACTTTACTTGGTGAGAGCTAGCTGCTTCTTGCAAAATCATGTAATAATTATTTGTAAGCATGTCTAGAGGATCTAGAGTAATTCTCGGAGAGAATCATGCAGTGTTTAATGTCAATTTAAATAGTTATAAATTATTTGTAAAACTAAATGTTAAATTCATTTTTTTTTCAATATTTAGGCATGGTCAATGTAAATTAAAGTTCAAACTATGTCAAATACCAGTAGATTCAACTCTGTGTGTTCATTTCAATTTTTTGTGATAAAAAAATTGAAAATATATATTTATTCTATTAATGCAATAAAAGATGTAGTTCTTGATGACAGCACACAGAGATGTGCCCACTATCCTTATGACACTCTGTTATATTAGAAATAGTGATTCTTTCTTTTTTATTTTCATGTTTACTTATATTATTTCTTTCTATTGCCATGTTATATATTCTTTAATAAAAAATAAAATAATACTATATATTTTTTAGTAGTATGAATCATGCATAAACTTTAAGTTTAAATCCTACTGTAAATAAATCCTTTTCATAATTAGTTTTAGCTGAAGAATTGTAGCTCTCTGCTGAAGAAAACTGGGACAGATAAAGCAGAGTGCTAATATACAGATCCTAGTGTTGTAGAAACTAAATTTCAAATTACATTACACCAATTTTTTGTCACTCACTTCAGGTATATTGTTTATGGTGTTTAATACTTATGTCCTATAATTGATCATACATTTTACTTTTGTTATTAATACTTTATTTACCTCTCAACATTCTGGAACGTAACAGTACTTTATAGTTTTGGAATATTCCCAATATATTTCACAACCCCTTAATTACCACAAACAAATTTTTTCGAACCGTTGAAAGGTAAAATGTCAGGAATTAGGAGTCAAATGCATGGTTGAATATGGGATACCATGTTTAAAGCTGGCGAAAGCATAAAATACCAAAAATACGTAATATCTGAAGTGAGAGACATAAAGGTTAATTTTACAACGCTTTATTAATTGATCTGACTATAGCTCTATCTCTGTTATATATGTCTGAATTTTTCACAAGCAGAGAGCTACAGTTCTGCAGATAAATTAGTTTCTCAAACTTTAATCTCTTTCTATTATGCATCTTTTACTTGTGTGTACTTCCTGTCTTAGTATATATTCATATGTTGTTGAGAGATTGGAAGGAGTTCCCCCGAGTACTTTTAGTACTTTGATTATTTTCCAAATAGACTGGCGATGCACTTGTATGTCAACGTTATCGATTGTCTATTTCTATTGGGAAACATGATTTCTTGTCACATATAAGTATTCAGTGCAAACCATTGTTAAAAATCATGGAAAAATTGCGAATAAAATTGAATAATAATATAATTAGTAAATTGTACGACATTAAAATTCTGTTCGCTATGGGTAGCGTGGCCGAGCGGTCTAAGGCGCTGGTTTAAGGCACCAGTCTCTTCGGAGGCGTGGGTTCGAATCCCACCGCTGCCATAAATTTTTTTCCTACTCCATCAACGCAATATGTTTTTTTTTTGTTTTTGTTTTTTTTTTAAAACCTTTTCTTAGGGTTTTATTAAATTTGTATTATTTTTTTGTCTTGGGCCACTAGAAACAATAATCTTTCAATTGACGGACCATTACTTATTCATTGACATAAACAATCAAGCTCAACATACAAAAATAGATCTAGTATTTTGTTGAAATGAATCATGCAAAAACAAGCAAATCAAAAAACCACTGTCAATATACGAAAAATTTGTATCTTTGCCGTACGAATATAAACTTAACTTCACATATTTCACCAATTTATATTGCAGAATTATGAATAATTCCGTTTTAAAAAGCTGTAATCAGATTGGGACGGGCTTTAAGTAAATATGAATTAAATGTAATAGTATTTTGATTCAAATCTTGAAAAACGTCTGTAAAATACATTTTACATACTATTCCTCTTTGTGATGAAAAAGTTCAAACCCCGGTCCCGGATTCTGGTCACAATAGGACAGGGTGTAGGACTATTCCTTTAATATACTGCTTTATTCCCTTTCTTGTTCAAGACATGTAACCCCCTCCCCCCTCCCCAAAGTTTTTGTCAATCACATTTTTTGTCAACAAGTATTTTTCCATAACAGTTGTAGTTTGGTGTAACAGTTTGCAAGGTATATAAAACAGATTTTATGTCGGTGGCAGTTTTTTAGTGTGAGACATTATGAAGGAGAGAGGAAATTTCGATTGATTTGTATGGCGTCATTTGGGATTAAGATTAAAAAAAAAAACTCCCGATGTTTCAAATATATATGTGAAATTACTTCTTTTCTCTGTCGGATTTAAAAAATATTATTAAAATAAAAACTTCTACTAGCCTAGTTTACGGGCAAATAGTAATGGGGTCATATTATGAGACATCCAGTATTTTATCTATAAAGACCAATTCCTTCGTAAATTGTTAGTTAGCTGTTTTTGATTGTAAATACTTGTATACAATATGAATTTCTTTTAAATATTTAGCCACAACGTAATTTACGTAACTGAATTTGACCAAATAAATATACATCGATATGAAAGATTTGTTTAGCATAATTTAATAACAAACTTGTCATTACAAGCTTAGAATTTTCTAACTATATATATACAAGTATAAGATTAAACGTCCCATTCAACTGGACACCACTTGTATATATCGGTACCCTGCCTATCGATACCCAAGGGGTCAAATTCCTGCGGGTCAAAGTTAACAACGTATTTAAAGGAACAGAGAACAGGATATGATTATTGCTGAAGGACAAGATATCTTACTTGCATCAGTCTATAAAATAGCATATAAACATGTATGTTTCAATCTTAATGACAATAAGATAAGATCACTGGACAGGAAATTGAAGCCTAACTTAATTACTACCTATTTCATTATTTGAAGATCTCTACAGAATGTACATGTATTTTCATTTACTTATTAATAAATGCACATGAAAGTGTGTGAGTCAGTGGTGTCGTGTTGTAAATCTTTTATTAACTGGGTGGCCGTACAGTTAAGATGTCAGTAGGGGGGGGGGGTGTGAGGGGAAAATTTATCAAGAATCAAATTTTGTTAGAAGTACATATATGTAAGTGAAAACTACATAAATTTATATTAAATCAGAGAACAAACTCTACAACTGTAAACTGCCTTTTATTGATTATCTCATTACCCAGTATTAAACAAAAGATACAATGCCAGATTACTTAACTTCCTAGCAGTAAAACAAGACAGAATCAAAAGTGCCAATAATTAATTTATACATACAAATATCTAAATTTTGATAATATTCATGAGAACATGAACTTTACATTGTCACATTTCATAAAGTGCATTATTACATTAAGTAGTTCAAAAATGGAATTTAAATATCTAAATTAACATTCAATGATTTACCAGTCTGCCATCCATGACAAAATTCATCACATTTCTATTTTTCAACAAAAAAATCTTGAAGAAAAGTTTTTCATATAATGAATATGTTGGCTCATACATAATCAGCTTTAATGAAAATGCATGTAAACATGAGAAATACTGGAGTAGATATAAAATTTTATGAGCATTGCAATAATCACAAGGGAACATCTTCAGTTTATCAGACAAATGAAAAGAAATACCCCTGTAAACTATACATATTACAAGCATTGGGAAAATAATTCTCAAATAAACTGAGCGACCGATCATTACATGACCATTGCAGCAATACAAAGACAAAAAAATAACAACACAACAGAACACAAACATTCAGATGTGCTTCTTAGCACTTCTTATAAAGCACAAAAAAAAAAAAAAACAGTACCACTGTTTGCTTATACATTAATATTTTGAAACATAATACAGTACTATTCAAAATAAATTTAGTGAACAAAGCTGAAATTAATACTAATTTAAGCACTCTTACTTGAGCACATTTCCTTCGATTCTCAATCACATTTATTTCGAAGTATATACTTATTAATAATATCATTATTTGTTAGAAACATACTTATTTATACTATTACAGTAAAAAAAACAAAAAAAAAACATATGTCTGTCTGAAATCCATATGCAACTACAATGTATTCATTTTTTCAGGCTGATGAAAAAAATAATTTGGTTCATGGCAAGAAATATTTGTGAGTAAAGAATAATTTGTCACCAAACTTGATGTCTAAGATATATAATACAGCTCGAAAATAAAAGTTAGCCCTTTGTTCTTTATATTATAGGGGCAGATTTAACAATAATCACATTACCAGGTATACTCATCAGAAATTACATCATAAATTACAATATCAGGAATACAATACTGGTCAGAGAAAGACTGATTTAATGCCCCTATCACATGACATAACATTTCGTTTGTGCATTTCCTATTTAATTGCTATAATAAAGCATTGCTTAAATTGAGTTTCCCAATAACGAAACAAAATGTACATAGATGTAATAGTCAATCAAGTACATTGCACACTACATGTATTACATAAATAACACCAGCCCTGCATGGAAATTGAGCAATAGGGATTTGATACAAGATCTCTATAGGAAAGAACCAAAAATATCTGATCAAAACATAAAGAAGGGGGGACTACTCTAACACAGATCAAAACATCACAAAGGGAGCTAAGCTAGAAGACAATTAATCTGATGAACTATAAATATGACTAGTAAGTGTGTATAAATTCACATTAGATAAAATGTAAAAACTGACAAAATGTGTATACAGAAAAAGGAATTATATGTATATGCATAACAAGACAGGCAATATTACCATATGAAATAATTTAAACATATGCACTGTTTATATAATAATAACAATGATACAACCTCTTAATAATAACGTGTGTAGGGAGATCACAAGTTTGAGTGATATGTAATGAAGTAATATAACATGTTTATTATTTATAATCACTCTAGAAGTAAATCATTCTACAATAAATAAGAGGTATATTTCTCGGACCCAGTGTCGTTCACTGAATCAAGCAGCACTGTGTTGTTTACAAATTACAACTGTAATTATTGCACACATTTAGAGTGCCTTATTCACATGTTATACATGGATAATGTAAATATTGAACAGAGAGACCACCCATTTGTCATTTCAGATTTGAATGCACACTTGCAATCATGTAAAACTATGCTTATCAAATTAAAGCATCTCAGTTCTGTTTCTCAAATGTCCATCAAGTAATAAATGACATTATCAATAACACAAGAGCATGTGAGCTGATTTAAATGTAAACAGCTATACTATCTAAGGTAGCTACTCCACGGAGCAAAGGCTATAATACCTTATATTACAGGTATTTCTATAATTAGCACTAATGAAATCTATATCTAAACAAGTATATTATGTAACAAAGACTATAGCTAACATTATAGTAAGTCTGTTTATACCTACATCTATAAATAGCAGTGATGAAATCTACACCTATACAGATACAGCGTAGTATTATCATGTAAATTAATCTAGTCTATTACTATTATTATTATTATTACAGGTAAGATTGTTTACACAATATGTATAATTACTTATATGTAGCACTGGATATCTTAAACCTATACAAGTAGCAATATGTTTCACAAGTATTAAAATCATTGTATGCATAATCATGATAATAATGACTGACTTAGAACATAATTCACATACAAAAACTGCCATTATGATAATATATACATCTACAGGTTGTGTAAACTTTTTTTACTAAAAAGGTATTCCACAATATCTAATTTTGTCAAAATATGTTTCAAAGTAATTTTTATAAGACTATAATAAATTATTTGACTTAACATGATTGTGAAATCATTACTGAATGAACTTTTTAAAATACCTGGTATCTATCATATTTTCCATTATTAATTAGTGTAATCCTACTTAAAATGCATGAACTATTACAACAATGGCTTGCAGACCTTTAAAGCGTTTGAAAATATGTACATGTGTTGTACATAACTGTACTCTTCCATCATAGAATCATTACTATTAGCAGTATCATAAATAATGTATCAGAATCTTACAGTTCAAAATAAAAAAAGATTGTTACATTTCAAAAACAAGAGGCCCATGGGCCACATCGCTCACCTGAGTAATTTGGGTGATGCAGATCTTTACCAGATTCCCCCTCTTGCTATACCTATCATGCCCAACAACCCCCTTCCCTTTTTTATTTTAAAACTTTAGAATCTACACTACCCAAGGATGCTTCCACATAAGTTTCAGCTTTCCTGGCCCCGTGTTTCTTGAGAAGAAGATTTTTAAAGATTTGTTCTATATTTTTCTACGTAAAACTTGGAATTCCCTATTGTGGCCCCGCCCTACCCCCGGGGGTCATGATTTTAACAATTTAATATCTACACTACCAAAGGATGCTTCCACATAAGTTTCAGCTTTCCTGGCCCAGTGGTTCTTGAGAAGAAGATTTTTAAAGATTTGTTCTATATATTTCTATGTAAAACTTGGATTCCCTATTGTGGCCCCGCCCTACCCCCGGGGGTCATGATTTTAACAATTTAATATCTGTACTACCCAAGTATGCTCCCACATAAAATTCAGCTTTCCTGGCCCAGTGGTTCTTGAGAAGAAGATTTTTTAGTGACCCCACCCTATTTTTGACTTTTCTTGATTATCTCCCCTTGTAAGGGGACTTGGCCCTTCAATTTAACAATTTAAACTCCCCTTCACCCAAGGATGCTTTGTACCAAGTTTGGTTAAAATTGGCCCATTGGTTCTTGAGAAGAAGTCGAAAATGTGAAAAGTTTACAGACGGACGGACGGACAGACGGACGGACGACGGACAAAATGTGATCAGAAAAGCTCACTTGAGCCTTCGGCTCAGGTGAGCTAAAAAAAGAAGATTGTCTGCAGGCAGCAGATGAATGCATATACCTTAATTGTGAAAAGAAAACAACACTGAGTTCTTCCAGTTGAGGGTACTGTAGAAGTACTTTTTTCTGCGTGGTATTAATTCAAGCTATGTATGTGGTCACAGATAATCCATGGAAATTAGTCCAAGCGTACTTAATATAAATGTAAGGCATATGGTGACAGTCAAGAAAATCCGCGTAATTTTCTACCCGCTGATTAAATGGAAATTGAAATTCCACGGAATTATGACCCTGCGGAAAAAAGTACGTCTACAGTATAATATAGTATACAATGACAAATCCTTTGATAAAATGTACATTTCTGTCATAAAAATAATTCTTTTTATGCATATCTATAATGATATGGCTGATATCACTGAGTTCTGGTAACACTACCAAAGTCAGTACAACTGCTGTCTGATAACCTGTTAGGAAACAATGGACTAAACCGATTGTCGTCCTGAATTTTCTCTGCAAGTTCGATATGATCGTGGTGACATAAAATGTCGGAAAGTCTCTGAAGATCAAAGGAACACAGGTCTGTCTGTTGACTGAAGCTCTGAAGGCAGCAGTAGATCTGTTCCCTCACGTTCCGCGGATGATTGGCCTCGTGTTCCTCCAGGACACGGTCCGCTGATTTCCCCACGGTAGCTGAAAATATACAGAAAACCAAATCATGTAAGAATTGCTAAAAATTAAACCCACAAGGAGCATTTTTTTGATTAACAAACACTTTCATTTACAGATTTATTATATTCACCCAATATACACACAGGGGCAAAAATGAAAGTGAAAATTGTCCAGTATAGATTGTATCTTTTGTTTTAGGCCGTTTAAATATTCACTAACTTTCAATTTCATCCATTCCTTTGTACATCAATGGACTCTCCTAAGAGACTTTTTTAATTTTTGAGACATTTCAATGTAAATAAATACAAACATTTACCAAAGAGTTCTCTGATTACAAACTTCCAGTCCGCGATGGGAAGTTCTTTTTGTAGTAATAGACAGAGATCTCCCCAGCCTCTCTCAACCAACACTCGGCGGCTCACTGGCTTCTTATCTAAAACAGAGAATAAAACTAAATCATGCAACAGTTACATCAAAATCTCCCCAGCCTCTCTCTACCAACACTCCGCGGCCCACTAGCTTTTTATCTACAACAGAAAATAAATCTATCACAAATACTGTAGATTCCATATTTTTCAAGAGTACTTATTATAGTGAATGAGCTCTTCAACGTCAAATCACAAGAGTAATAATTGGTGAATGGACGGTTGGTCAAGAGATTTTACATAGATTTCAGCACCATTAACATAAATGCGAGTAGTTTCATTTTGCATGTGATGGTTCTCGCAAAATTACGCAATAACTAGATATCATTAAGATGGCGGCCATCTCAAAGGGCCCCGCTTTGAACAATGATAATGAAAATGTAAGGTACTGTAAATCTTGTATAATACAGTAAAAGTCATTAATTTAGATCAACTTCACGGATATTGCAATTTACAGATATATATTGAAGTTATCTTGTAACCCAGTTATATAAATTTATATAAATTTACTGGAATTAAAGGGAAAAAATTATGCACCAAATAAGATTTTAAACATAGAGGCAAATTCTGACCATGACCTAGAAACTTTGACCAAGGTCACTGCACATCCATTGACCAGTGGAACTCTGTGAGTGAAATAATAGCCAGATTGGGCCAAGGAGAGAGAAGATATGCTCCGGACAAGGATTTTTCAAATAATTCTGCTATGACCTTGACCTTGAAACATGGTTCAAGGTCACTGCACACCGGTTACCCAAAGGCACTCTGTGGGTGAAGTATGAGCCAGATTGGGTCAAGCAGAGAAAAGAAATACTCCTGACAACGATTTTTAATAACATTCTGACATGACCTTTACTTTTGACCTAGAAACATGGTTAAAGGTCACTGCACACTGTTACCCAAAGGTATTTTGTGGGTGAAGTATGAGCCAGATTGGGCCAAGGAGAGAGAAGATATGCTCCTGACAAGGATTTTTCATATCATTCTGCTTTGACCTTGACCTTTGACCTAGAAATATGGTTCAAGGTCACTGCACATCGGTTACCCAAAGGCACTCTGTGGGTGAAGTATGAGCCAGATTGGGCCAAGGAGAGAGAAGATATGCTCCGGACAAGAGATCTCGGAAGGACGGACGGACAGACTGATCACTATAGGGTGCCCGCCAAGCGGGGCCCTAATAATTACTAGTAATTCCACATGTATATTTAAGAATCTACAGTACTTCTCACTACTGAATTCACTGTATTGGACATGATTTGAGAATATGAGTGCTTACCTCTCTGGGGAGAGTCCATTGTATTGGGAGTAATTAGTGAATACTGCCCATTTACTGCTAATGTTGTGACCCCCTTTTGTTCTCCTGGGTCTACAGAGGTGTGTCCATTTGTTGTGCCCATGTCCTGCATCTCACCCTCGTTGCATCTATACATTTAAAGTAATGAACAATCAATTAAGAACACAGTTACAGTACAAGGGAATTAGGAAATACCTATAGCCTCAATCTTAGTCAATTCATGCATTAAATGTACATAGTTTAATGTAATACAGTAAAACTTGGTTATAACGAAGTCACAGGGACCTGGAAAACTACTTCACTATATCCGTAATTCGCTGTATCCGTATAAGGAATTCGTTAAATTTACATAGCTGGGGATCCAAGATAACTTCGCTATATCCGTGAATTTGCAATATCCGTGTTCGTACTAAGCGAGTTTTACTGTATCAAAGTACATCTTTTTCCAACTGCTTATATTGTTTGCACGGATTGCACAACAAAATAAAATATTCAATTTAATGTTCAGTTTCAAAAGTGAGAATAAAACACAACTGATAACAAGCATTGTTTTTTTTTCAAATCTTTTTTTGTAATATGACTCTTGCATTGTAAGACTTGCATTTTCATGAAAAAGACCACAAAATTCATAACTATTGTTCCCTTTCATTCATTAATGTTCTATACCTAATTGGTTGAATTTGATACAGCAGGTCCATAGACGATGTTGAAAGTATTTCAAAGTTAATGGACAATGATGTCAAACATAATCAGATAACTATAACTATTGATCAGTAAGTAAGTTTGTGTTGAGATCTACCTTTCTGTCCCAGTGATCTTCAGACATGGCAAACAGTGACTTTTCCTGTGGCAGATCAGCACCACTACCACCATCAACACCAGCGCCACCAGCACACCCACAATAGCCCCGCCAATCACCCCAGGGGGTGTGGTCTCTTTCTCCCTCTCAGACTGAAATGTGGGTTTATCTGGGGAAAAATGTAAAAACTTTTACCAGTGTTCTCTAGGCTTACAATAACATACATTTTTAAGGAACTTATAATTACCTTACTTAATGGAAGGAATTGCTCCAAATATTCTCCCCCAACAAAAGCTTAAGCATTCAAATATGATTTAATTTTAATTTTCACTCTCTAGATCCATCAACAATAAATCTACTTGGTGTGTACAATTGTGTAATTACCATTGCACTGTATATATACGATTAAGTCATTAGAACGTTACCATTGCACTGTGTGTCTGACTGAGTCATTATCATTGCACCGAGTGTCTGACTGAGTCATTACTATTGCACTGTGTGTCTGATTGAGTCATTACCATTGCACTGTGTGTCTGATTGAGTCATTACCATTGCACTGTGTGTCTGACTGAGTCATTACCATTGCACTGTGTGTCTGACTGAGTCATTACCATTGCACTGTGTGTCTTTTATTTTCAATTTTGAGTCATTACCATTGCACTGTGTGTATCTGTATCGGTAGTCATTACCATTGCACTGTGTCTGACTGAGTCATTACCATTGCACTGTGTGTCTGATTGAGTCATTACCATTGCACTGTGTGTCTGACTGAGTCATTACCATTGCACTGTGTGTCTGACTGACTGGTACACCATTGGGTCTCTGTGGAGGGGTCAGGGCACCTGCTACAGTTCTTACACTGGGTATCTAGATTCTCACTGTCCTGGTACGTCCCCTCTGGACATGACATACAATCTGTGTCCTCTGTTGACGTTCCTACAATAGGCAGCAGGACAGTATCAAGGCTGAGTACATGTACTGTAGTATTTATATATAAGTGTCAAAAGTTTGTACTCATTGAAATACTATGCAGTTGTACATTTATGCTAAAATTTATTGTTTAAAAGTAAGAAGACACAGTTTGACCTTGAAAATTCATTTACAATATAAATTAAGTCATGCAAATGTAGTTCATTAAAAAATAAAGTGTATAAGAGAATTCTACATGATCCAAATTCTCCACTCTTATTTACAGGTCTTCTTATTGCTGACCTAGCTTTTGTACGTAGAATCCTGGCTGACATTTGGAGTATAGAACACACAGTCCCTCTGTGGGGGATCGTAACTTCAGGTAGAATCCCTCCCGGCACTGACACTGGATATCAGACAGGGTGGTGCAGTTACTGACGATCTCAGAATTACGCCGCGGACAGGAGGTGGAGCAGGGCTGACAGCTGGTGGCCTGGTTAGGGTACAGACTGAAGTGACTTGAGGGGCAGGCCTTACACCGGGCCGATTTACTCGACTCCTGGCAGTCTTCTTCCTTCATAAGGAGACAGGTATTTGTATTAAAAAGTTTTACAAGTTGTTCAGCAAAACAAAAATAAAAGCAAGTCAGTTTGAATCCTTTTGCAGAATATAATCTGAGAATCCATGTTAATAGAATTGTTAACTTCATTACCTCTTTTGCATGTTAATACATTTCAACAATGGCATCCCCTCACAAAATCACACACTGATATATAATTTAATGTAAAATCATACGTTTTTGTGGGGTCAAATTTTCAAGGTTTGAGGAAAAATATTGGTGTGTAGGGATTTGAATTCATGTTCATGGTGGTCATAAATTCCTGGGTCTCTTGATACCTCGAAAACAATGAAAATTAAATCCAAACAAAAATGAGTGATTTCACAGTATTAAAATTGTTATGCATAAACAAACCCACTTACACAGAACTTCATTGCGAGGAGATAATAATGAAAATATATGTTTATTTAGTTATTTGTTATAAAGACCTTGTAAAACCCTGGAGCACAGCAGCCACACAGCAGGTTAGTGTTCACCACGTGGTACGTGTAGTTGGTCTGACAGGTGTCCTCTACCGCCTGTATTAGAGGCACCGCCACAGTCACAACATAGAGGTACCACCCCATGACACCTCCCTGGTAACACATGAGATCTGTTGACACCATCACTGTAAACAAGTTGTCCACGCCAAAGAAACCACAATAAAACTTCAACAAATCAGTTACCAAATCAATTATCCTTAGTAGTCACCACATAAAAGTTCACCACATTAGAGTCAAAACATCAGTCACTGCAAAGGATTCACAAAATGTTCACCTCATCAACTTGATCAAAGACACCAAATCAGTCACCACAAAATTCCTCACATCAAAGTTCACCGTGTCAGAGTTCACCACATCATTCTGTCACCACTCAAGGTCACCACATCATGATTATCCTGAAAATACAAAACAGTGTGTGGTTATTGAAGTCAGGGGTAAGTTCAAGTTGCTACATATAGGTATAAAAAGAGCTGGAATCTTGGAAGTTTACCTAGCTTATGATAGATATAACATTAATGTATATAGCTAAATCAATAGACCTGGACTTCCAGGCTAGCTATCACAATATTCAATACTGCCCAGCATGCTGATTAAATGGGAAGAAAAAGCCTATTAGCCTAAGGGAGGATAAACTTTCTCAAATACATTGATGGAAAATAATATTAGATGCACTTCAGCAATAATACATGGACATCCTCTCCTGTTTGAGACTGTACAATGCTGAAATTGTATTGCTACACAGGTGTCATTGTTTTCTTGATTCGATCCTGGACATAGAATTTCTGATTACCATCAAACCATATTAATTATCTCAAAGTCATAAAAGTATATGATGAAATAGGATTTCTCACATCTGGCTGATTATCCCTAAATAGACCGGTACTTTTGACTTCTTACCTTTTTAAAGAAAATACAGCAAGAGACTCATAGGCCATCATGCTCACCTGAGTAACTACCGCCCTGCTGATCTTCAACCAAAGATTTTTACTCTTGTTCATTTCTATGCTTGACTTTGATCACATTCTGTATCCAAACCCCAACTGTGCAGGTTATGATTTGAGCACACCTGAATTTACACATCCTGAAACTGCTTTTGTCACTTATCATGACTAATCATAACTTTGTTGTTCCTCAGAAAATATTTTAATTACTTTTCCTATGTATTGCAACCTCAATAACCTATTGTAGCATGGTGTGTAAGTTCCACATTATCAGATGCTATATGGGGGTCATGAATTATACAAACTACAGAATGCTTTCTTATAAATATGACTTACATGTTCACGGCTTTGCTGTTCTTGAGAAGATATTTAAATTTTCTCTTAGATTCCCCATTGTTGCTCCATCCTCCCAAACAGGGGCTTAAACTTGAACAAATTTGTACCTGCACTTTGTGAGCAGCTCTTAAAATTTTCACCTTTCCTGGGTCAGTGGTTCTTGAACATGTTGAAATATGTTTCAATGAACCCACCAAAATTTCAATATTTAATAATTATCTCCCCTTGGAAGAAGATTATGGCCATTCTTTGAATAAACTGAATCTCCCTTACCCAAAGATACTCTGTACCAATTATTTGGTTGAAATTGGCCCAATGGTTCTGGAGAAGATGAGAATGTGAAAAGTTCATGATGATGGCAACAACTGACTTATGAACAATCTTTGATTAGAAGATTAAATAAGACTCGGGTGAGCTAAAATAAGAGATTTCATGTGAAAGAGATAATGCACTAAAACACATTGTTATGTCAACAGCAGCTGGATGAAATAATGCTGTTTTGAGATATATATGCATTCACTTGGTGCAGATGGTGACAGGTGCTCTAAACAACAGCTGTCATACAGAGGCTGAAAAATCAGGGGAATTAGGAACAAACTGCTAAAAACGGTAGACACACAAGTTACTGTCTGTCAGATACAACATATGTACAATTCCGACAAATGTTTCAATCTACTTTAGTCTCTTACTTCATTTTATAATTTTTTTACTTTTTTCATTAATAATTAGAGGATCTTAATCTGTTAACCAGATTTACCTGATTCAAGTCTTCCATAGAACATTATCCAGTTATACGGTTTATACAGACATGCAGCAGACTTTCACTTTGGTTAAATTTCTCACCTTTAATTCACACCTTAATAATTCAATCAATACCTGTCCCATGTCACTCACCTCCAAGATCTCTCCCGCAGAATTAATCTACAGGCCAGGATTACTCCGGACATAAAGATATTTAACAGTCTATTACACAGTAGGTGTGGAGCTTAGATCTCAGCGTGAGGCTGCATACAATCATTCACTGAATACTGGAGAAAGGGCCGCAGCATCAGAGGAATTCAGCTGACCTTACACACTACTGAAGTAGAGAGTTCATCTAATCCTATTTAATGATTTACTGTTCCCTAGTCTGTAGAAAATAATATCTGGTGAAAATATGCTAGACATTTTCCTTTGACAAATTGCTCAGTAATTTTGCTCCTATTAGTAAATGTGCTAAATGGAAGAAAAGACGGGGGGAAAATGTTGCAAGCTGTCTGAAATTTGTTAAAAAAAAAAAAAAAAAAAAAAAAAAAAAAAAAAAAGTTTCCATCTATTTTACACTTGAGAAAAATTTTAAGAGAAAAAGCCTAAAAGGACAAATTTATGGATGTATATTAAAGTTAATTAGGCTTAATTTTATAACAATTTATCATTTTAACATAAAAATAAAATATGTTAGGTCTAAAAATTTCTACACTGTGATTGCAATTATAAAAGATTTTAATCCTTCAGATAAGATTTAACACCCAGCCTAAAACACATTTATAAACATTTACAATTATGAATTACTTAGGATTTATAGCACTTGAGAACCACTTGAAGGTGTCAAGTATATCTTAACCATTAAACACATAACACAAGTGTATTGACAGATTAATAATCCTCTGAAGTGACAGAAAACATAAAATAGAAGAAATGTATCGACACCACGGACAGGATATATCAATTTAAGCTGAATCAATAAATGAGCAAGTTTTGTACATATCCTGCAGGTTTCTGACATTCAGAGAAAAAAAAGCTTTTATACGGACAATCCAATCGGTAAATTATGAATGGTCATGTTTCTGTAGGCAGATTTCATTAATATTAAACAGAGTTAATGACCGCTCAGAAATTAACAACTACAGTGCTATAGAAATTTTCCTGATCTGTTGTAAAAACAACTGACAAATGCAAGATTATCTTACGCCAAACTGCAAGTTTTAAATTTCATACAATCAATAATTATGTACCGATAGGAAGTGTTTAATATTGAATCATACCTTTATCTTGTTCTAAATCACAGTTCTACAATGATAATGATCTTTGTAATCAATATGGTCAATACTTAAATCACCTGTCTGGCTGTCTCTCTCTCTAAAGTTATAAATAGTGAGCATGCAGAAAAAGTTTTAAAGATGTATAATAGTTTACTTATTAATAGGAGAGGACTATCTAAGTTACTGAACTTGTGTCAAATCCTTTTGACTTTGTCAATAAAATATGTTCAATTCAATTCAGTTTACTGTAAAAAGAGCAGTCTCTTTAACCTGCAGAGTTATTCCCCTTTAGGCAACTTATATTGCAACTAACCTTTGAGATATTTCCCTTGTTAAAAAATGAAACTGTGCAAAGGTAACATGCAGTCCATCTCCAGTAACTTTGTGCACCCTAAAACTAATGTTCTAATGTACCATGGTAACCAACCCTTCTCCTGTATCCCCCCCCCTCCAGCTGTTCTCTCTGTATTGAGGTAACCATCCCCCTTCTCCTGTTACTTTGCCCCCCCCCCCCCCCCTTCTTCAGATAAAACTATTTGGCAAATTTGTTTTCTTCATCTAACTGCCCATTCATTTCATAGTCCCCATGAGAACTTATTGTATCCTCTTACTATCCAGATATAACCCCTACTGTTCCATTTGACAAAATTCCTATACACTCCTTGACCTCATTTTCCTATATACCCTGGTACTCCTTGATCTCTTTGGAAAAAATTATATATATACTCCTGCCTGAGTTAGAAAAAAAATGATGACTTTCATTTTAACAAGCAACATTTTACTACATCAGAAAGATTAGGACAGACATTGAAAGAAAATTTAAGAAAGTATCAATTCTATTTGCAAATAAAATGTAAAAATATTTATCTTTAACAATGAATTATTAAATAGTTAAAATCTTACGAACCTTTCAATCGTTGAAATCACTTTTGTTATATTGAACATTATGTGAAATGTCACAGATGTTTTCTATTTAAACACATTACACCTATAGTGTATAAATAACTATCAAATATGCACCTGTGGAATGTACCTTTTTTATTTAAAGCCAATATTTATTGATTTTTTGCCAGTTGTCACCAATATATGCTTTTCATTGATTAAAAAGAAATAATTAGAATGGATGTGATACTTTGCTGGTATCTTCAAAGTGTATTTATTTTTTTGTTACTGTACATAGCATCTGATGATTTCTTCCTGTTACCAGCGCTAAGATCTTCCCGCATGCATTTACAAAACTTTGATAATATATCTGCCAACATAAACACACAAATAATCATGCATGTGTCTGCCAAACTAATTACAGCATAAGACTTTGATCGCATTTATGCCAACGTTTTCCATCAGTAACATATTTTCATATTTTTGTTTTTTGTTTAATGCTATACCACGATACGTTTACAGCTGGTATTGGCAATCAGCATCATAGTTACCATGGAGATGTGCAGCAATTAACGAGACACTTTTACCTGATCTTTAGATATTTGAACCCGGAATCTTATAAGATCATTGACATTTCTTACATATACTTTATAATACAGGATTTCTTAATCTTGCACCTGTGAAAAATTAATATGACTATTAACAAAGTAATGCTATAAGACAACCGTATGTTTTAATAATTAGGTACTCAAGGGAAAAATGGAGAATAACCTTAATTTGAATTAAAGACTGCATTGTAACCAAAGTCTGTAAATGCATGGATAATAATTGGCATTATAGCAAAAACATTTTCCTAATATTTCTATGGTACTTTCTGTCAATTTAACCATGTTTTAAAACTAGTAAATGGTAAATTTGCTAATTAAGGTTAGTGTCAGAAGAAATATACACTTTAAAACAAAAATAGCAATAAAACAAAAATATCTTCTTTTTAAAAAAGAGCACTTTATTCAAAGCACTGGCCAAATCTTTTGATATTAGTGAGTTAGACTGTATCTTTCTAAACGTTACACTTTTTGTTCTGGACTTAGTGACACACCTCTCCTCATTCTGCAGTTTATAGTAGCTGATGTCATTCTCTATATAGACCAAAGAATGCCTGCGCTCATCAACCAGTCAAAATCAATAGTTTTGGGGAGGGATGATTTAACTTGACTTACATGTTGGTCTGATGAGGGGATAATCTTCGTGGCTAGGCAGGATCAATGGCGAGTGATTGAATCTCTCAGAGTTACCCATCAATACAAGTTCACTTACCTTTCTGTAAATGAGTCGACTGACAGAAAATCATATTCTCCGCGATCACACGTCTGTCAATGGATGATTTTATTACTCTATCCTGAATCACTCACCCCTTGGTCGTTAGTCTTGCTAGCAGCAGTTGTCTCTTATTTATAATACAAATGTGTCTTCATGCATGTATTGATGCAAACAAATTCTTTTTCACCATATATCAGCTTAGAACATGCATGACATATTTTATCAGTAAAACATTTCAAATACAAAATGATTCATATTTAAGCCTAACAAATAATTATATCCTCCAATTGCAGCTAGAATTTTTATATGCTTTCTGTATATGCATTAATTCTTTTGTGGTTTGTTGAATGATATATACAAATAGAACTTTCCATCAATTTCTGCCAGCTAGTCTTTCAATAGTACCCCAGTCTTCTTGTCAATGAGTATATTTTGTTATAATATCACATATATTTTATTATTTAAAAGCTGTCGTGATAATTGTACATGCATTGAAAAGTGAGCTATCTATATATGTACCATATAGATATATCACTGATACATTAGTGATAAATGTAATTATTTTTTATAATCAGCAGTTATTTAATATCGATTTTAAAAAATACCTGTAATGTTTAAAAAGGAGAAAAAGAATCATTTTCTAAAATGCAGGTATATTACTATTCTCAAAAAGAGAAATTTAAAACACAAACAAAAATGAGACTCACCAGAACGATTACGTAATATTCTAAGACTTAAAAATATATTCCTCGGGAGATTTGCTAAACTCGGCACAGTTTGTCTTTGTTGCATGCAGCACAGTATTTTGTCACGTTAACAAGGGTCGCTGACAGTTCATGCATGTTCACGCACTAACCAACATAACTGCTTACCAAATTATGCAATGTGTAAGAAAAATCAATCGGAATTCAATCTCTCCAGGTCACTCGTCATTCTGCTCTACGGCATCCCGCGACTGCGCGCGAGTTATTTCGTAAAATAAGTTTGTATTCTATATATAGATTGGGGGAATTCCCAAAAAATGGTGCGTGAAACAAAAACGTTAGGACACGGCGATGCCCCTGTTCCGGAACCTCGGCAAATGCCGACAGTCAGGAATATTGTAGTTTACGGTAAGATGACAGTTATATGATTGGTGATGTTATTACTTTGTTATTTTTTTCTTTAAATGTATTTTTCTGCATATATTGTTATATTTAAAGATGTACTTGATACAGCTTTCATTAACTTTCAATTTCAATATCTCCAGTAATATGCATTGTACAGGTGGTTTGTTTCAGATTCTACTCGCCAGGTGGAGAACTGGGAGTTGGCGTGGGTGGCTCAGCAGGTGTGTGATACCCCGGACACTCAGCAGTGGCTGTACAGAAGTAAGTCAACACTGCGACAAGGGGCATAACTCTTCAAATGTTTATCCAGTTTTGGCAAATGTAACTGACATGACCTAGCTGCTTGCAATTTCTTAAAATTGTATCTTTATTAAAATTATAGTCCTATAATGTTACACCCTGATATTTAGTATCCTAATTTAACGTTTCCACAGCTGGTCCATGTGAAATAAATAATTTAAAGCCCAGATTTAATTTTATTAAAGGATTCTCAAGAGTCATATATATCCCTTATCCTTTCCTATAATAAACTAGTACACATTTATGTGTTTTGGATCTTGTGTCTGACATTCTAAATGATTGAACAAATTAATATTTGGGAGTCATTCATCTAAATAGAGATGTATACAAGCAGACCATGATCATTTATTTCTAGGGCTGGGCAAAAATATCGATATTTCGGTATATTGAAATACAATGGCAAAAAATATCATATTGCAATACGTTTTTGTAATATTGATATACCTGCAAAATAATTAGACTAAGACATTTTATTATTAAATATAAAAATAAATGTAAGAAATGTTTGATATGAAGCCAAACAGTAAGACAGAAGTTGTTTTATGAATGTATTTCAGAGCATTACTTTAATAAATTTAACGAGATTTTTTTTCTTTTGGCTACTTATCATAGATTTGTACAATTTGTGTGTAAATTAAAGTAAATTTATTAAGAAAATGCCATTTTATTTTCATTGAAAATATTGCAATACATATCGCAATACAGTTTAACATACAGCAAAACGAAATTTCTGGCCAATACCCAGCCCTATTAATGGCTTATAGGAAATAATTTATTTAAGGCATTAATTTGCATATTCAAAATGTTATGGTTAGCTTTGGAATCTTTGATAATCATTGCTATGTAATGCACAATGAGTACAGATGTTAATTAATTTTTGAGTGACAGCTGTCGCCTGGAATAGGGATAATTATTTATTTTTTTCTAGTGACGGCTGTCGTCGGGAGTCGGATTATTATTTATTTATTTTCTAGTGACGGCTGTCGTCGGGAGTTGGAATTGTTATTATTTATTTTTTAGTGACGGCTGTTGTCAGGAGTCAGGATTATTATTATTTATTTTTTAGTGACGTCTGTGGTCGGAATTATTTTTTTTAAATATATTTTTAGTGACGGCTGTCGTCGGTAGTCAGGATTAATATTATTTTTTTTTTTTTAGTAACGGCTGTTGTCGGGAGTTGGAATTGTTATTATTTATTTTTTAGTGACGGCTGTCGTCGGGAGTCGGGATTACCAGGACGTGGAGAAGGAGGTAAAGGATTGGGATCCGGTGGAGAAGGTGTACCGCCTGATGCTGAAGTGGAAAAAAAGGGAACCACATGGACTGCTACAGCTAAAAACGCTGGCCGAGAAACTACGCTCGATACAGCACTGGGAGATAGCGGAACAATTAGAACCATAGAAACTCCACTCCATATAGCAGGACTTCATAGAACAGTTAGAACCATAGACCATAGGAACTCCACTCCATACAGCAGGGGGACTTCATAGAACAGCAAGAACAATAGCCCTAACTTACCAGCTTGGAATTAAAGAGTGTCCCCCAACAATACTGATCTGTAATGTACCTGTAGTCAAGCTTGTCAGGAGTTCCTGTTGCTTGGGGGGGGGGGGGGGGTAATTAAGAAAGTTTTGATCATCCCTGAGAGGAAATCATCGAGGAAACAAAAAAGATATTTTCTGCATGTCTGCATGTGTACGTGTACATTTGGAAAAAATAATGCAGTTTGTAAGCTGTGTTTGTGTGTGCGTGGATGGAAAATGTTAACTTAAGAAAACTCTTTCATGGATGTTTTTTCATTTTTTGTTTGCATAAGGTATTCATGAAGTATATGAACTCAGAAGTATTTTTATGGAACATGATTTGTAAATAAAATATCACACAGAAAAAGAGTTTGGTTTGTCTTTGATCTTATGTGTTTCCTTTATATGGATAATTTATATGGATAGTTGAGATTACTACATAGACAAAAAGAGAGACACCTGATTTGCCATCATTTGGACATTGAACAATGGGATCACGGTCTCCTTATAAATAATATGCAGGATCCAATTCAGTTTAAGAGGACTGGGTGGTTATAGCCATTTTCTGACTTTATTGTCTACATGTATAAACTATAAAATGTATGTAATTTTTTTTTTTGCCAGATGATAGTTGACAGCTTAAGATATCATATACATAAATAATGAAGTTGTATTGGACGCTTAATTCGTTAAACCCAGGTCTCTTTAAAACACATAATATACGTAAACCTCATAAAGTATTTTAATTTGTTTATTAATTTACTTTGTTGTTTTAAGCAGAAACAAACGACAGAACTACAACATGTTCAGTAGTATATCGCCTAGTATATCACACTAGAAAAACTCTTTCTCCATGAACTAGATGAAATTTAAGGCCATTTATCCCACACTCTAAAACTTATGAGACATTTTCAAAGCTTTCACTAAAATAAAATGTAAATTTGGTAGAGTTTTTTGTTGTATATTGTATAAAACTGAAGGGAAAAATATCAGAATAGCTTGTTTTTACTTGCATTACACATTAAAAATTTTTCAAAACATTCCCTAGAAGGGAATATAAACAGTTTTAATGTATCCAATACACAAGGCTAAGGTGCATTTTATCCTAACACTACAGAGTTCCTGAAATTTTGACTAGAACCTTGCCTTCTATTTCCCTTACAAATACAAGCATTCTTAACAAGTTTCATATCAGTTGATTATCACACAGTCAGCGTGGATGGTGGGGTTGAGATAGTTGCTGACTGCCATAAGGACATCCTACATGACAACGACTTAATGAGATTGTTGTTGACCATCACAGGGACATCCTGCAAGGTGACAACATGTACAGGTTGTTGTTGTTCATCATAAGGACATCATAGAAGTTGACAACATGTACAGGTTGTTGTTGACCATCATAAGGACATCCTGGAAGGTGACAACATGTACAGGTTGTTGTTCATCACAAGGATATCCTGGAAGGTGACAACATGTACAGGTTGTTGTTGACCATCATAAGGACATCCTGGAAGGTGACAACATGTACAGGTTGTTGCTGACAACATGGGACTTGACATCCATTCCTCTCTGCATGGACTGTATGTCCCGCTGAATCCCCCCAAACATGACCAGCTCGCCCCGCCCCTCCACCAGCGTGTAGAATATTGTTTCCTCCGGGGCCTCCAGTGAGAGGTTTTCCTTCACTGGCTGCCACGAGGCAGTCCGAGATTGCACTATGTTAGAAATGTCCAGCACGTGTAGATGGATGGGTGTCCGCAGTTCTCTCAGACGAGTTTTTCTAACATTGTCATTGGTTGGTTGGTTTTGACCTTGTGACCCTGGAGGCCTTGCCAAACTTTCCCTCAGTCTCTCCTCAAACTTTCTCAGTGCTTCCAGCTGCTTTTCCCTGTTTTTTACAGCGTTCTGTCGTCCACCTAACACCCCCGGCCGAGCGTCGCTGGTGCTGAAGGCCTGCATGGACGGACCACTCGTGTCAGGGTCGGTGACGTAACTATAACTCTGAAGTCGGCTAGGAGACACGGGGGATCTCCGAGGGGAGGGACCTCGACCCCTCACCACATCACCAGGATGTTTGAACTCCAGATGACTCCTGTCTGACCTTTGACCTGAATTTTCTTCATCATCAGCACTTGAGCTGTCATCACTTTCAGAGACGGGGCGTTTGAAGGTAGGACCTGCTTGTCTTGAGACTGCAAGTAAACATTATTATACTGCAGGTTTTAAGGTGGAATGCCACACCAATTTTTTATTTTATAGATCTCTGAGTCATCCTTTTTAAACAAAGGTTTCAGCATTTTTTTTGTATTTTTTCAAAGAAAACGTAAAAATTATTTACATCCAAATTAGATGCGTTCTTGTAAAAATTTTGCTGTAAATAAATACATCACATGAATACCTAATAAAATATGTAAAGAAAGTCTGGTTAGACTTTTTAATTTTTTTTATAAAAAATTATTTATGAAAATAAAACACATTATAAAGAAATTAACAAGAGGCCCACAGGCCTTATACTAGGTCACCTGAGTATCATATACCAACTCTTCAACAATTGAATTGTTCATGTTTTAAACCAAAAGCCATGAAATTCACAACTGCTTACTTTGGTTACTTAATACCCAGAGGTAGATCAGAGTAATAACAAAGAGAAAATGCATTTCCACTGTATAACAACAAGTTGTGCACCCCAACCCACAGGAACCACTGACCCTTGGGCCACATTTTTCAAAATTTTGGGAATTCAATCATAAATTTTAATTCATCATAAATGGTTGATTACAGTGTAATACAAAACAACAGATTTCAAAGCATTACTTTATTTTCAGACTATGGATTTTCAAAGTAATAATCTATGGATTTTCAAATTTTGAAATAATGCTATGTTCACTATATATTATAGGTGTGAGCCAGACAAGCTTTGCAGGCAGCCGGCTTTTAATTTTTGTCGCTGATGAATAAGCTTATAGCCCTGCCCTAGCACTAGAACCCCTGACCCTTGGGGCCATGAATTTCACAATTTTGGTAGAGGACTAAATGCTGATTACAATAATGCCAGTATTTTGACTGTTTGATATCAAGGAGTATAGAAGAAGATTTTTAAAGATTGCATTAATTTTAGTGGTTTGGCCCCACCCCAGGAGGGGGGGGGGGGCAGGGACCATGAAATTCATGATTTTTGTTCCCCCTTCATCCACAGATGCATTGTGACAAAATTAGTTGAAATTAGTTAAGGGTTTCAGAGAAGAAGTTGAAAATGTTCAAATGTTAACGTAAGACACACAACCGACAACGAGGGACAAAAACGGATAGCAATAGGTCAACTGAGTTTACTCTGGTGACCTAATTAAAAGAGGACCCCACTGATATCTAGAAATACAATTGTGTACCATTAAAAGAAGAATTAATTTATTTTAGGAGATTATCTGTTAAAATTTCTTTTTTTGTATGCATTAACCCAATGATACACTAATACAGGTATATTTACTTTGAGTTGTTATGTTAAATATCTATGGAACATATATTGATGTTGATTACTGTATATACTTGCCTATAAGTCGTTTTTTTTTGAGTTAATCTCTAGTTTAAAACTCTTTGTCCGACTTATAGGCGAGCTATTAAAAGTATGGTTTCATATGAGGTCAGTTCATCTGATATATAAGCTTATTAAATACAACCGACTTATAGGCGAGTATATATACGGTATTTATGGTACATGTACAATATGACCTATGAGTTGATTGATATATTAAATATCTTACCACTAGACTGAGGCCCAGCTGCTTCTCGGGGGGACTCATGAGGAGGGACCCAGATCTTGTTATTACGGTAGGCATAATTAGCAGGTCTCCGAGGGTCTGACGATGGGGGACGAAGAGGTTTGGAGGGTTTACTCAGGACTATCATCTTATCATTTACCTGTAAAAGAAAAGCACTGAAGTGAAATCAATGTCAATAAAAGAAAGGCAAAATAGGTCATATTTCAGAGCCCACTAAGATATATTACAAATATATATAGCATATTCATAATAAAATTTGAAGAACTACACGTATATCTATAATGGAATTCAAGAATTCAAAGAATAATATTATATATACATGGTATTTGTAGTTTGCATATATTCAAATTACATCTTTGTTGATACCTGATGACAGATGTTAAAGGCACTTAAAATAATCAATCAACATAGCAATTGCATATTATTTATATTTAAACAAGTACATTTTCAGGCTTCATGCACTTCCTAACCATGCATTCACTTCTCACTGGAAATGTGCTAAGAGTGACTCAGATGAACTTAAGAGTGACTCAGGTGAACTTAAGAGTGACTCAGGTGAACTTAAAAGTGAATCAGGTGAACTTATAAATTAAACTTTGAACTTGTATCCTCCTCTTACCTTACAAGCTGGGTGGCACCACAGCTGAGGGGCAGAGAACTCTGACTGGTTAATGATCACCTCCTCCCAACTCCAGGGGTCGGTGTCCAGACACAGGAGCCACAGGTCATTGAAAATCTGAGATAAAAATGACAAAGGTGTATCTATAGGTTATAGTATTTACAGTCATACATTTCCACTATTTTTTATTTAGTATGTAAGTATGAAATTTGTTTGAGTATTTGATAGATATTTTTTTTTTACTTCAATTCTTTATCAATTTTTATTGGTAAAGGTAATATGACCCTATTAATTTGTTGCTTTAAATACACCTGAACTAGTATTTTGAGTGACCTACTGACCTGGTTAGGTCCTCCGCATCCTCCCACCACTAAAATGTGAGTGTCATCCAGTGTAACCTGAAAACAACAATAGGTACATGTATATCTGTACAGTAACTTCATTGGAGTCCCAATACTTGACATTGAAAATTCACCTGTGTGAAAACACAATGTATTTAAGACAAAAGATGGATAAATTAACTAGAAATATGTCCATAGGACATGAATGCCCCGCCGAGGATGTATTAGTAAAGCAACATGAAAATTTGTATGTGTATAAAATTTGATCAGAATATCTTGAATAGTGATGCAGCTGAATTGCTTGTTTGGAAAATATAGGTCAGATCCAGCATCTGAAGCAAGTCTGGTAGTGTCCATCCCTAGATGCATCATCCATGCAAGTTTGGTTCGGGTAGGACTTATAGTTACTTGGGAATGAAAATATAGGTCAGATCCAGCATCCGAAGCAAGTTTGGTAGTGTCCATGCCTAGATGCATCATCCATGCAAGTTTGGTTCAGGTAGGACTTATAGTAACTTGGGAATGAAAATATAGGTCAGATCCAGCATCTGAAGCAAGTCTGGTAGTGTCCATCCCTAGATGCATCATCCATGCAAGTTTGGTTCAGGTAGGGCTTATAGTTACTTGGGAATGAAAATATAGGTCAGATCCAGCATCTGAAGCAAGTCTGGTAGTGAACATCCCTAGATGCATCATCCATGCAAGTTTGGTTCGGGCAGGGTTTATAGTTACTTGGGAATGAAAATATAGGTCAGATCCAGCATCTGAAGCAAGTCTGGTAGTGTCCATCCCTAGATGCATCATCCAAGCAAGTTTGGTTCAGGTAGGGCTTATAGTTTTTTGGGAATGAAAATGAAGGTCAGATCCAGCATCCGAAGCAAGTCTGGTAGTGTGCATCCCTAGATGCATCATCCATGCAAGTTTGGTTCTGGCAGGGTTTATAGTTACTTAGGAATGAAAATATAGGTAAGATCCAGCATCTGAAGCAAGTCTGGTAGTGTCCATCCCTAGATGCATCATCCATGCAAGTTTGGTTCAGGTAGGGCTTATAGTTTCTTGGGAATAAAAATGTAGGTCAGATCCAGCATCCGAAGCAAGTCTGGTAGTGTCCATCCTTAGATGCATCATCCATGCAAGTTTGGTCCAAGTAGGGCTTATAATTCCTTAGGAATGGACCTGCTCCAAAAACTTAAATCTGGTCACTCATCTGGAAAATGTAGATCAGATCCAGCATCCGAAGCACTTCTGGTAGTGTTCATTCCGAGATGCATCATCCATGCAAGTTTGTATCAACATGTGAAGTTTGATAAATCCATCTTTAGTGGTATGTTTAAAACTGAGCTAAACACTAATTTAACAAAAGTGAGGTCAAGGTCAAAGGAAAGATCAAGGTCAAAAAATGTTGATGCAGTTGCATAGCTCTCATCAATATCTATCATCATATGAAGTTTGATAAAAATATCTTGGATATTTGAAACTTAGCTTTGAGCAGAGCTAAACGCAAAGTGTGACGGAAGGACAGAAGGACAGAAGGACGGAAAGACGGAAGGACGGAAGACGGACATGACAAACACTATATGCCCCGGCCATATTCATGGCGGGGCATAAAAAAAATCTGCTGACCTGTGTTTGCCCGTAGCGAGGGTTTGGACGTTTGTTGCCAGTGTGTTTTCTTTGCCAAGTCATATCAATAAAATTAAACTCCCACACTTCATTATTTCTGTAAAACAAACAACAGTTTGTGTCCAATGCAAAATAAAAACAAAGCCAAAAATACAATTTAATTAAAAAGACATACAAGAAAACCATGGGAAAATGAACTGAACTTTAATGATAAAAGTAGAAAATTACAGAGAAAATAAGAGACTTACCCTGTTCCTGGGACATGTGACCCTCCAAACACTACCATCCTGTCCCCCACAATGGACGCTGAGTGACCGGCCGTGGGGGCAGGACTGACAGGTGACATGGTGTTAAGGTGGTACCAGCGGTTCTGCTCCGGTTTATAGATGTGTAACTCAGAGAAAAACCTGGCAGCCTGGAAAATTATATTTTTACACATTTCCGTAAAGTGCATGTTAAAGTAACTTCCTTGTTCTCTAAAAATGTTACTTCACACTATCGAGAATCAAACTCATTGTAATTTTAAATTTGACTTTAGAAAGTTTTTATTCTGGTCATATTACCTGATGGAGAGGGTAAGGAGTGGGGTGGCTCCACCCTCCAAACAAGACTAAACTGTCCTTGTAAACAACTAAACTGGCACAAGCTTTGGGAGAGGGGTATGTACCTGAAAGGATTCAACCCAGAAATTTAACACCTTATACAGTCAAACCTATCTGAAACTCACTGAAAATGAAAAGAAGCTTCAATATATCCTAGAATTTAAAATATTGATTGTCAAAATCTTTAAAAATAAGTGTTTGGTTCACTTTGAGAGAGATATCAGTGTTTAAAATACCGAAGTTTAACTTTAAAATTTTTGTTAAAAGTGAAACAAACAAGTTTACATTTATTTTATGTCATAATAAATGAAAGAAGAAATGCAATATTAAGAGTATAACTACAAAATTTAGAATTTTTACCGATTGCAAGTGGCCTAATCCACTGTCTCTCTTTGAGGTCAAATCTCCAGAGGTCATTGAAGGTTGTGTTGGTGGAGGTACAGCCACCGAAGATGTACATGGATTTGTCGTAATAACAGGCACAGTGGGAGTACCTCTCTGTTATATTGGATCCCACCTCTGGAGTAATTCCCGTCCACTCCAGCTGACCCTCCACAATCCCAGAGTAAAAGCTTTGATACATTTGACGAATTACTCCTGAAAATAAAAATACCAAGCGACGTAATAAAACAAGTTAATGTGATCTTCTTATCCTACAAAAATTTACAACTTACACAAGCCTCAAAGGCTAAACATTTCAAAGTATTCAGTGTTGACCACTTCCAATTATGATTGAATAAGTAATGTGCTTTACTTTTGTCCATATATTTTATAAGGATCTGTGACAGATCGGGCTCGGGATGCTAGCTGAATTACGTCACCCGGACTTTATCGTAATGCGATACGATAGCGGCCAAGGGTAGTCCGGGTGATCATCACTATATAAAAGAGCGTTCTGCTGAAAGCTGGCAGTTGCCAGTTGGAGCTCACAAGTGACGGTCGGCAAAAGCGTAATTGCAAGGTACGGGATTTTAAAGGATTTAATACAGTATACGGTGGCTAGTATACTGGGTTTAAAGTATAATAGTACTTTGAGGGAATAAAGTGATAATTTACCTCATATTAATTATTTCATCTGTCTGGGTACAAGACAGAAACCTGAAACGTACCTATCATAAGACCTATCCGAGTCCCGGATCGAGATACATACCTGTCCTGATACTGGTACAGATACATCCAGGACACAGACCAGATACATACACATTAGTTGTTGTTGTTTATGTTAAGGATAGAAAATCCTTATAATATATGTATATATTGACTCGTTTGTTTTTCATATATGCTTTGTCATTTATCATTTCAAATCATTTGTTTAATCAGTGATCTATCTCTAGTCTACATAATCAATTGTTTTGCTCATTTACGTGATTAAGGATCTAAACCTAAATAAACGGACCCAGACACGTTACAAAAATTGGCGGCAGCGTCGGGATTTGGGTTAGATCCGATTTTTTTAAAAATTACATTGTATGATCTTTGATAATTTACTGTTATTTTCACGATGTCAAGTTTACACGACATAACACTGATAGAAAGACAAATAGAAAATCTGAATAGGGAGATAGAGCAGTCTATGCGAATGATAGGTCTACAGGAAAATGCTACCAGTGTCCCAAGACGCATACAACAAACAAGGACGAGTACTCCGTTTACAAGACGGACAGATAGGTTGCTTGAAAATGCAAGTACTGAGGATGTATGCACATGTGATGAGACTGATGATAGGTCTGGAGACCGAGGACAGCATTCAGCACATGGCACAAATACTCATCCGGCGACAGATACAAATCGGAATAGATCAAGGCCAAGGAATTTTATTAAACCTGCGACTTATGATGGTTCCAGTATGTGGAATGACTATTTGTCTCATTTTGAGTCTGTTAGTCTCTTAAATGAATGGACTGAGACGGAAAAGGGGTTATATTTAGCTGCGTCTCTTAGAGGGCTAGCACAAGGTGTGCTGGGTAATCAGCCCAGGGATGAGAGACAGAACTATGGAAAATTAGTCAAATGCTTACAGGATCGGTTTGCCCCACTGAACCAAACAGAGCTGTATCGGACTCAGCTCAAGGAAAGGAGACAAAAACCATCAGAGAGTTTACCAGAGATGGGCCAAGATATACGGAGGCTAGTGAACCTAGCCTATCCCACAGCACCGGATGACGTACGTGAGATTCTTGCCACAGAACAGTTTTTAGATGGACTGCATAATGCGGAAATGCGTCTTAAGATCAAACAGTCCAGACCTAGCAGTTTTAATGTTGCTATACAGAGAGCTGTTGAGCTGGAAGCATTTTATAAAGCAGAGAGTCGTCGCACCGAGAATGTCAGGAGCATGGATCACGACAAGCATGGATCCAGTCAGGGATCAAAGATAGATAAATTCATAGAGACCATGGAGAAAAATATGCAATATCTTCAAAGGGAGATAAAAGACATGAAACAATGGAAGTTTCAAATGCAAAGAAATGGACGCGATACAAGGCAGACGAGAGAGGAAATTAAGAAAACAACAGGAAATGGTATTAGTACTCGAAGATGCCACAAATGCGGTTCTGACAAACACCTGAAAATAGATTGTCCCATGCTTAAAGATACAACCTCTCCCTCAGAACCTACACAGAAGATGAGAGGAATGACTGAGCATAAGTCAGATGACCGGACCCTAGCCAGAGCGCAAAAGACTGATGAACACTCTAGAATTGTTCATTCTATTAAGGAGTCCGGGGCGTATGTGACTGCCAAAATATGTGGGATGGATACCTATCTACTCGTTGACACAGGTGCAACTGTTTCCTTACTATCGAAAGTATGCTTTGAAAACATACAAGGAGACAATCATTCCTTAAAGAAAGTAGACAGGGACGTCCTGTCAGCTAATGGATCCTGTGTAGAGATATATGGTAAAACATCTATAGAACTCGTACTAAATGGAACAACTCTGAAGCATGAGATGATAGTGGCGGATCTATCTGTAGATGGAATTCTTGGTTTAGATTTTCTTGTCAAGTATGAAGCTATCATAAATATGCGCACACACAAGGTTGAGATCTCAGGGATAGAACATCCAATTCAGATGGAGGGTACAGCACGAGAGTACAAGATTGCTTTGGTCAATAGAATAGTTATACCTCCAAGGTCTGAAGTAATGACTGAGGGCAAGATATGTGCAGGGCCAGATGGGGGATATCCTGTGAATATAGGGCTTGTAGAACCATCTGAAAAATTCCGAAAATCGGATTCCGCTATGATAGCCAGAACACTGGTAAGACGTCAGGAGGCAGTGCCACTCCGAATTATGAATCTGTCATCCACAGATAAGACTCTTCAGCAAGGAACTGTTGTGGGGAAATTGTCTCCAGTTAATGAGATTGTGTCATTATTGTCTTCCAGCCATGATAAGAGTAATAGCAAGGAAATGCCAAAACATTTAAAGGAATTGTTTGATAGAAGCACTAAGAATCTTGGGAGTAATGAAAGAGACAAGGCCAGAAGTTTACTTATCAGGTACTCAGATTTGTTTTCTGTTACTGATGAAGATGTTGGTCGAACCTCTATGGTTAAGCACAAGATAGATACAGGTTCTCATCCAGCTATCAAACAGGCACCAAGACGTCTACCATTCCATATGCAGGAAGAAGTTCAAGAGCATGTATCCGATATGCTTAAAAGAGGTATTATTGAGCCGTCCAAGAGTGATTGGTCATCGGCGATAGTCTTGGTGAAGAAGAAAGACGGATCCGAAAGGTTCTGTGTGGATTATAGGCGCCTGAACAGCGTAACCATCAAAGACGCCTATCCCCTTCCCCGGATCAATGAGTCGCTTAATCAGCTGAAGGGAGCGAAGTGGTTCAGTACTCTAGACCTGAATGCTGGATACTGGCAGGTGGAGCTAGATCCAAGCGATAAGCATAAGACAGCGTTTGCAACTAGACAAGGGTTTTACGAGTTCAATGTGATGCCGTTCGGGCTCTGTAATGCCCCGGCTACGTTTGAACGTCTTATGGAGACTGTTTTGTCAGGACTACAGTGGCAGATATGCCTCATCTATTTGGATGATGTCATTGTATATGGCAAAACATTCAACGAAATGGTACATAATTTAGAACAGGTCTTTGAGAAGTTACAGTCAGCTGGTTTGAAGCTAAAGGCAAGAAAATGTACTTTGTTTGCAAAACAAGTGAAATACCTGGGTCATGTCATTTCGGAGAATGGGGTCGAGACAGATCCAGAGAAAGTTGAATCTGTGAGGCAATGGCCAGAGCCACTAAATAAGACGCAAGTTCGTTCCTTCCTCGGCCTCTGTAGCTATTATCGGACATTCATTGCAAACTTTGCTGACATAGCTCGACCGCTTCATAAACTGACAGAGGCATCAGTTGTCTTCAAATGGTCAGAGGAATGTCAAATAGCATTTGATGTCCTAAAAACCAAGTTAACCACAGCTCCTATCCTTACTCATCCAGACTTCAGTTTACCCTTTATCTTGGATACTGATGCGAGTCAAAATGCGATCGGAGCAGCCCTGTCTCAGATCCAGAGTGGGCAGGAAAGGGTAGTCGCTTATGCCAGCAAAGTTCTTAGTAAATCAGAGAGAAGGTACTGTGTGACCAGGAAGGAGCTCCTGGCAGTAGTGACTTTTATAAAGCACTTTAGACATTTCTTGTATGGACGTAAATTTGTGGTCAGAACAGATCACAGTTCTCTTCGATGGTTACTAAGGTTCAAGGATCCAGAAGGTCAGTTAGCTCGATGGCTAGAGGTGATATCGGCATACGATATAGAAATCGAGCATAGAGCTGGTAGACTGCATGGCAATGCAGATGGGCTAAGTAGACTCCCATGTGTCCAATGCGGATATTTTGATGATTGGGAAAAAGAAGATTTGCATGGAGAACAATCACATGCAAGGGTATTACAGGATGAGATCAAAGACAATGGGACAGATGAATCAAATGACTTGGTAAATATACAGGATGGAAGTCGGGATATAAGACTTGTTAAAAATTGGATGGAGGAGGGGAAGCGTCCAGACTACAGTGAAATTACTGCTGAGAGTTATATGGTCAAATCGTTGTGGGCTCAGTGGAGTAGATTGGCATTGAAGGATAACTTGCTGTGTCGTATGTGGGAGCTTCAAGAAAGCAATAACACGACATATCAGATTGTTATGCCACTCTCACAGAGAAGGTTTATTTTACAACAGATGCATGACTCCAAGACATCTGGTCATCTAGGGGTGACCAAAACCCTGAACAAAATCAGACAAAGTTACTACTGGCCGGGACTGCAAAGCGATGTAAGAGGTTATGTTGCTGGATGCGACATATGTGCCCGGAGGAAGGCTCCACTTAAAACAAAGAGAGGACCTATGCAACCTTTACAAGTGGGTTACCCAATGGAGAGGATAGCCACAGATATCCTCGGGGAATTTCCAATCACAGAAAGGGAAAATCGCTACATACTTGTAGTCTCTGATTATTTTAGTAAATGGACGGAGGCCTTTCCTATGCCCAACATGGAGGCTCAGACAGTTGCGAAACTGATCGTAGAGGAGGTTATTTGTAGGTTTGGAGTTCCTGTATCCATCCACTCCGACCAAGGTCGTCAATATGAAAGTCTTTTGTTTAGCGAGGTATGCAAGCACTTACAGATCCGAAAGACAAGAACCACACCATACCATCCTCAGTCTGATGGTATGGTGGAACGGTTCAATAAGACATTAGCCACCATGCTGAGTAGTTATGTCAGCGAGAATCATCGGGATTGGGATGAGAGCATACCTTTTGTGATGATGGCATACAGGGCGGCACAGCATGAATCAACCGGATACACGCCAAACATGCTGATGCTTGGTAGAGAAACTGCCACCCCTCTGGACATCATATATGATATACCCGCATCCTGGAAACAAGTACCAAGTCATGAATGGGTGTGGATTCTGACTGATCGAATGGAAAGGGCTCACAATATGGTGAGGAAACAATTAGAAGGAGCTATCCTTCGACAGAAGCATTATCATGACATGAAGATGTCCTATGAACAATTCAAAGTTGGGGACCAGGTATATGTCTATTTTCCCCAAAGGAAAACTGGGTGTTCACCTAAGCTAACTTCATATTGGAGAGGACCTTTTAAGGTTCTGACAAAAGTCTCTGAGGTCCTATATAAGGTGAATTGCGGACGCAATGGAAAGGATCAGATAATTCATTGCGACAGGATGAAAAGGTGCAGGGATCAAATTCTTCGAGGCGAAGATCCAGACCTAGGACTCGAAAGTTCAGAACTAGGGACAAGTGATTCTTCTAATGTTCAGATAGATCAAGAGGATCAGGATGATGACTTTGGGTCATCTAACAGAAACATTGAAGTCACGGAAGAATTAGTTGGTGATCGCAGACCCAGACGTGAACGGCGTGCTCCAACTTACCTTCAAGATTATGTCCAGGACTAGAACATGTAAATATGTTAATACAGCTGTTTCCTGAAAAGCTGATAAGACAGATAGTCTTTATACATAATCATTATCATTATTTTCATTTTGTGGATACAACTCATGTTTTCTTCATTAAAACATTTATCATCATGTTACATCATCATTTCATTACCGTTTCTAGTCATGCGAGGACGCATGAGAAATAGAGGCGTGGGTAATGTGACAGATCGGGCTCGGGATGCTAGCTGAATTACGTCACCCGGACTTTATCGTAATGCGATACGATAGCGGCCAAGGGTAGTCCGGGTGATCATCACTATATAAAAGAGCGTTCTGCTGAAAGCTGGCAGTTGCCAGTTGGAGCTCACAAGTGACGGTCGGCAAAAGCGTAATTGCAAGGTACGGGATTTTAAAGGATTTAATACAGTATACCGTGGCTAGTATACTGGGTTTAAAGTATAATAGTACTTTGAGGGAATAAAGTGATAATTTACCTCATATTAATTATTTCATCTGTCTGGGTACAAGACAGAAACCTGAAACGTACCTATCATAAGACCTATCCGAGTCCCGGATCGAGATACATACCTGTCCTGATACTGGTACAGATACATCCAGGACACAGACCAGATACATACAAATTAGTTGTTGTTGTTTATGTTAAGGATAGAAAATCCTTATAATATATGTATATATTGACTCGTTTGTTTTTCATATATGCTTTGTCATTTATCATTTCAAATCATTTGTTTAATCAGTGATCTATCTCTAGTCTACATAATTGTTTTGCTCATTTACGTGATTAAGGATCTAAACCTAAATAAACGGACCCAGACACGTTACAGATCTACCATTAAGTATAAAATGATCCCCAGCATTTGTCTGGCTGTTTTAAGCCCTAGCTCATGACAAAATACAGATAAATTAAAATAATTTTTTGGAATTTATTCTCGGTGTGGGAAATAGCTGTATCTAAATCTAATTCAGATATGTGTTAATACCTTGAACAAGCCGATGCCACTGTCGATTTACCAGCATGGCACATTTTAAATCTCTGTAGGGCGACAAATGAAGCAAAATAAATTCCAGAATTTCCTCCGGTAAGTCTGTGATCTGCAGCGGTCCTTGGGCGGAACTCATGGTCCCTTTTTGTGACGGTTTTGTTGACAAGGCCATTTCAGAAGGATGAAGAAGTTTTCAAACTGTCCTGGTTACTAAATGTTCATTGTGGTTCTCTTTATTTTCGTTGTTGACAAACATTCAAATCATGAAAATGCTTTGGATCAGTTTCCTCGATTCAAAATATTTAGCATTTTGAGCCCGATTTTCTAAGAGGAAAAAGAAATAAAATACGAATCTTAAGAATTCATTTATTCTTAGTATTTAAGCATAACAAAAAAAGGAAAAAAAAACACATTTTAGCCTGTTCAACTAATAATACTTTTCAGACATTCTCAGTTTATTTGTTTGACAATTCTGATTTATCGGGTTCGACATTTCGTAATTATTTATTCCAATATTGAAAAAATTCGGGACAACAGCATGACCGGCAATTTTCTGTTTCTTCTGATCTTTTTGCAATCTTTACTGTTGTCTCGTGCACTATTTGAGGATCAGATAGGAAAATTTGACTGGTAAGTACACAAAAAACGGCAAAATCTAAAAATTACACGTTAGAGACCGTGTAAAGGGTGCCCTCTCGACCCTCCCTCTCTCATTTGCACGCCACTCTGTGTTTGTACACAATTCTCGTCATATAGCGAGTTCCAATGTGTTGCTGAACTAGAAATAAGGATAGCAAACACATATATTTTTCGTTAATGAACTGTCTGTGGTCGGATTGTTGACTAGTATGATTATGATTCCTCTGAATGTAAGTTGTAACCCCCGCTTTAATATATTAATGACATCTCCCCTGCACATGTCATGATATAAAAGCGTGGGTAGTAAGAGTTGGAGAAATCTCATTTTATATCGTCAAATCCCCTTACTTCATCATTTTCGAAGGAAACTAGCTATGTACTGTTTGAAAATGAATGCGTTTGTGACATCATTTTTTGTATGCTGAAAATCTAAAATGCTGAGAGTGAGACACTGGTATAGGCAAGTTAAAAAAATATTGATTACACTGATCCCATGTTTATCCCATTGATATAGCTCATGCGATATCCTTTTTGTATCCCACAGTTGTGACATCACAATGGGTTTTGCATTAGTAAAATAAAGTGGAGTCCTATATAAACTTAAGAGGTGTAAAATTACATGTAGTTGGATATGATTTTTATCCAACCAGTTGTGTGTTTTTATCCCCTCGCCAACTACAAATCATGGGATATCCTATATTTATTGTATTTTTAGCTCACCTGAGCCGAAGGCTCAAGTGAGCTTTTCTGATCAAAATTTGTCCGTTGTTGTCGTAGTCGTCGTCATAGTCATTGTCGTTGTTGTTGTAAACTTTTCACATTTTCATCTTCTTCTCAAGAACCACTGGGCCAATTTCAACCAAACTTGGTACAAAGTATCCTTGGGTAAAGGGGATTCAAGTTTGTTCAAATGAAGGGCCACGCCCTTTTCCAAGGGGAGATAAATATGAATTAGAGAGAAATTAATGGCATTTTTAAAAAAATCTTCTTCTCAATAACCACTGGGCCTGGAAAGATGAAACTCATGTGGAATCATCTTCAGGTAGTGTAGATTCAAGTTTGTTAAAATCATTATCCCCGTGGGTAGGATGGGGCCAAAATGGCCGATCAAAGTTTTACAAAGTATAGGAATATATAGGAAAAATCTTTAAAAATCTTCTTCTCTTGAACCACTTGGCCAGGAAAGATGAAACTCATGTGAAATCATTCTCAAGTAGTGTAAATTCAAGTTTGTTCAAACCATGAACGCTGGGGGTAGGGTGGGGCCAAAATGTCCGATCAAAGTTTTACATAGGAATATATACAGATATAGGAAAAATCTTTAAAAATCTTCATCTCAAGAACCATTGAGACAGGAAAGATAAAACTCATGTGAAATCATCCTCAGGTAGTATAGATTCAATTTTTTTTAATCATGACCCCCAGGGGTAGGGTGGGGCCAAAATGGCTGATCAAAGTTTTACATAGGAATATATTGCTAAAATCTTTAAAAATCTTCTTCTCAAGAACTACTGGGCCAGAAAAGATGAAACTCATGTGGAATCATCCTCAGGTAGTATAGATTCAGGTTTATTCAAATCATGACCCCCTGGGGTAGGATGGGACCATAATGGCCTTAAAAAGTTTTACATAGGAATATATAGGAAAAATCTTTTAAAATCTTCTTCTCAAGAACCACTGGGCCAGGAAAGATGAAACTCATGTGGAATCATCCTCAGGTAGTGTAGATTCAAGTTTGTTCAAATCATGACCCCTGGGGAAGGTAGGGGCCAAAATGGTCGATCAAAGTTTTTCACAAGAATATATAGGGAAATCTTTTAAAATCTCCTTCTCAAGTACTTCAAAGCCAAAATTAGTAATATTTATATGAAATCATCCTCAGGTAGTGTAGATTCTAGTTTGTTCAAATCATGACCCCCTGGGGGGTTAAGATTTAAGCCCCCCTCCAAACTCGGTTAAACTTTCATTTCTGATCTGATATTGCTTTTTCCTAGCTGGTGTGCTCAGGTGAGCGCTGTGGACCCTGGGCCTCTTGTTTTTAATATGATACTTACTATTGAAAGTTCAAAAATGCTAATATTCACAACATTGTTAACCATTCTATCTTTTCTTTAAGGCATCAACAATATGTAGGAAGGATTAAAGACATTTTCTGGGACCAGTCTTTCCATGCTGGTAAACGTTTGCTGGTGTCTTCTGAGAGGCATGTTCTGGCTTCAGTTCACTCCCACAATGGATCCCTGGGTCAGTACCATCAAAACATGTCACCTCATTCAGTATATATCATATTGGATCTCTGGATCAGTGTCATCAAATTTGGGCTATACAGAATTTAATCATGAGACTAACTTCATCTCATCCAAAAAAAACTCTAAAAATAATATCTTATTTGTTTAATAATAATGTTTACCTTCTTTTTTTGAAGCCTGGAGAAAAGTTTTAGAAGAAGGAAAAAGAGGCCAGATAGATAAAACACTCTACTCAGGAAATGGTAAGTAAATAAGAAAGCTCAGTCAGTGATATTAAGTCAGATTTGGTCATGCAGGTGCTGATATGTGGTGATTTTTTTGGAGGAGATGATAGGGATGGAGTTAAATTAATAAGCTGAATTGTGACTTTTTTCAGTTTTGATTACTGTGAATGGAGGTGGACAGTTTGTCCGAAAATGGAATCCTGGGACAGGAATAGCGGACTGGGACGTCGCTCTGCCCGGGTCAAAACAGGGGAGGTAATCAAGCTCTGTACGATCAGAATACACTGTCTATTGTTTGTCATCATAGTATGTTTTGTTCTTTACTTAATTTGAAAAGGATTTATATTTCTGTCAGTTGAAACTTTGTTTTGTAGATCTATAAATTGTTATTGATTTTAAAAAACTTAATTTTAAGTGGAAAAAATATTTTTGGATTTCCTTACCTTATAAACTTATGTTTGACAGGACGGACATTGCTCTGTGCAGTAAGGACCTGGTGGCTGTTATGACACAGGAAACTCTTGTTGGTTTGGAAACTAGATCAGGGAAACAGAAATGGTCCATTACACTACCTCAAAGGTATGTTAAAAACTGTGACTGTTTTTTTCCCCACTTTATTGTCTGAGATACGTGTACAAGATATATAATTTAGAGAATGTGCTGAAAACTTATAGATGATTTAATTTTTTTTGTTAATTCTGTATTTGATTGCCATCCACAGATTGAATTCATTTTCATATGGTACTTACTGTAAATCAACATGAATCCAGCAAAATTAGGCTTAAATTATTTCTTTTTTTCAGTAATCAAGTGGTATACACACTTCTGACCTTGTCGGGAACAAACCTTTATGTGATTGGTCAGTCTTATGGAAAACAGGTCACCATAGTAACAGTAGACGTGGAAGGAGTGATCAAGTCCACGCGATCCGTGCCGTCCTCCTGGCTATCGGCTAACACACAGTATGTTAGCTTGTTACATTTATGTATAGCTATGACGGTAAGTTGACAACAGTCCTGATTCAAATATAAACTTGATATATCCACTACCTGTTTCAGATGTGTGATGTCTGATGGGGGATTCCTGGTTTGCTACAGAAGTGAGGACCAGTCTCTACAGGTGTTAAGTCTACCTGAGGGACAGACATTTAAGACAACGAGTTTACAGGTGGGTGTAGATTTCTGTTATAATAACAGTTGTAATAATATTGTTTTTCTTTTATTTCTTTTATTTCATATTTCATTGTGGAAAAAGAAACATTTGGAAAAAGGGAGTTTATGAAATTTTATTCTGTTATTTGGGTTTTTAAATTTATACTAATATAATAACTTATTTTTAGCACTTGTAAGGTTGAAAATTCATAGACATAATCTTTAATTTGATATTAGCACATGTAATTTGACAAAAAATGTTTCTTGTTCAGGTTTTAGGCTTAGAAGCAAGTGATGGTGTTACCATAGAAACGTCTAAGAAGACAGATGATCCGTACATATTTCTGCGGATGTCAAAGGATCACTTGGTCTTAGTAGAAATCACGGCCCAGGGAGCCAAGCTCAAGAAAGACCTCCCTAAGGTTAGTACAGTACACGACTGGCTGTATAAAACGTGGAGTGTTATGTAGCCGCAATAAAACAGCTTTCTAATGTCATTATATAACCTAATAAAAATATAAATGCTGGTTATATTCTATGTCTAATTTTAGATCTGTGCAGCACAAGTGACCTCCCTTGATGATCAGTCTATGTTATTTACAATAGAGAGGTCTCCAGGGGTGAGTATATTCAATTGTATACATTTACAAAACTCAGAAAGTTGTACATTTATACAGTCATGATGTTAGTATTTTCAACTGTATACATTTACAAAACTCAGAAAGTTGTACATTTATACAGTCGTGAAGTTAGTATTTTCAACTGTATACATTTACAAAACTCAGAAAGTTGTACATTTATACAGTCATGAAGTTAGTATTTTCAACTGTATACATTTACAAAACTCAGAAAGTTGTACATTTATACAGTCGTGAAGTTAGTATTTTCAACTGTATACATTTACAAAACTCAGAAAGTTGTACATTTATACAGTCATGAAGTTAGTATTTTCAACTGTATACATTTACAAAACTCAGAAAGTTGTACATTTATACAGTCGTGAAGTTAGTATTTTCAACTGTATACATTTA